TGAACCAGCTTTCATGCCATCCACCTGTGTTTTTTCCACTTTCAATTTTAGTGGAAAATTTTAGTTATTTTATTATTTGTGTACATTGTCAGGGTTTTTATATTCTATTCAATAACAATAATTGCCCCAATTTCAAAATTATTAATTCAGTATTCACTGGGGTTCCTCCATTGATGAACTTATTATTTTCGATTGGTTGGATTTCAGCATCAAGTAATTTCTTTTAAGACTTTATGGATGTCTAAGCCTCTGAGTTTATGTTACAGAATGTCCATTAACTTTATACTCAAAGGACGGTTTTGCTGGGTATAAAATTCGGAGTCAGAGCTCTGTAGCTATTACTTCACTGTTTTCTGAAATTGGGTTTCTGTGGAGGATTCTGAGTCTCCTCAACTCACCTCCCTGCTCCCCTAGTTATATGGTTCTTTCTTTATCCTTTAAGATCAGTAACTTTTTTAAAAGGTATATTATTTATTTGAGAGAGAGAGAGAGAAAGCTTGCACTGGCAGGGGGAGGGGCGGGGGGGAGAGAGAGAGAGAGAATCTTAAGCAGGCTCCAGGCTTAGTGTGGAGCCTTGCATGGGGCTCAATCTCATGACCCTGAGATCACGACCTGAGCCAAAACCAAGAGATGGACACTTAGCCGACTGCACCACCCAGGCACCCCAAGATCAGTAACCCTTTAAGGATGTCTTGGTGTTAATCACACCAAGTTTTCCTGGGCCACAGAATGGCAGTTCATTTGTAGAGTCAGTTGTTTTGTTTTTTTTTTTTAATTTCAGGGGATTTTTCTATTATATATTTGAATACTTTTCCCCTTTCCATTATTGTATTTTCTTTACCAATTATGTATATGTTTGATTTCCTTTTGCCTCCCCATATCTGTCACTTTTGTCTTATTAGTCTTCTCCATTTAATCTTATGTGATTTCTTGCAGCCCACCCACTACATCTCTAGTTGTTCATGCTCTTTGTCATTTAATCATTGCTTATAATATGGTTTTTAAAAAATATGTGATGTATTTATCTTTCTCATTTTCTACTGAGCTGTGTTAACTCACCTTTCAGCCTTCATCTCTTTCTTTTGTCAAATAATTTCTTTTTTAAAATTTCGGCGTCTCTTTTCTTACACCCATCTGCCCTTTACCAGTTCTTAAGAGATTATATCTGTAATTTCTCTGGGTCTATGACTCGTTTTTTCTGAAGTCTTTCTGATTTCTCTGGATGATTTCTCCTGCTATGTGTTCTTCATTTGCCCCCCACCCCACCCTTAATGCATAGGACCCACGTGAATTCCTTTGTGATTATTATTCTTTAGCTACCTTCTAAATAGCAGCCTGTGAAAATGTGGGGAGTGGTCCAGAGCAGTCTGCAGCTGCATTATGGGCTACTTACTATCTGGAAGGCTCTCTCCCCAAGCTTTTATTTATTCTCTGCCTAGGGATTCTGTCTCTCTCAGGTTTCAGGGTTCATACGTCATAATGGTTCTCAGCAAAGCTCTTTACATCACTGGCTGTCTGTGTTATGACCAGCCCCTCGCTGCCCCTTTTCTCTCCCCACCCTCACTTCACTCCCAGCACCTCCCTCAGAGGGAAAATGAGTTTCTGTCATAGAAATGGCCTGTGGGTGTGATTTCCCATCAACTCCCACCCCATTTCCATTCCACAGTGTAAAATCACATCTCTGCCTGTGCTCAGTTGTTTACAGCAGCACTATTCCCATCAGCCCCAAATTGAACATTACCCGAATGCCCATCAACAATGGAGTGGTTGAGTCATTTACAGTACATCCACCCAATGAAATACTAGACAGCAATGAGAACAGTCCAGTCTACAATCACATGCGATAATTTGGATGAATCTCATGAACGTGATGTTGGTCAAAACAAGCCAGAATCAAAAGAGCACATACAGTAGGCTTCCATATGAAATTGCTCAAAGACAGCTGGGTGTTGGCAATCCATCGGCTTCAATCTCATATAAAGTACAAAACAGGCAAATGGCAGGACAGTGGTTGTCCACAGTTGAGGAGACGTGACTAGAAGGGGACACACGGGGGGCTTCTGGGGTTGTTATTTTCCCGTTTCTTGATCCTTGCTGGTCCTACAGGTGTGTTCAGTTTGTGAAAATATATCTATACTTACATGCACCTTTTTGTATGTATGTAATACTTCAATTAAAAATTTTTCTTTGGAGGGCGCCTGGGTGGCTGGCTCAGTTGGTTAAGCAACTGCCTTCGGCTCAGGTCATGATCCTGGAGTCCCGGGATCGAGTCCCACATCGGGCTCCCTGCTCAGCAGGGAGTCTGCTTCTCCCTCTGACCCTCTTCCCTCTCGTGCTATCTCTCATTCTCTCTCTCTCAAATAAATAAATAAAATCTTTAAAAAAAAAAATTTTTTTTCTTTGGAAAAACAAATGACAGGGGGATGCCTCTCCTTGCCTGGGGTGGTATCCACAGCCCTAGTTCCTGATTCCCGCAGGAGGATCATGGCCGTGACTTTCAGGAAGTGATATTTACCTGGGGGGTCCAAGGAGGAGGCCCATGTAAGCTCTCAGCATGTAGCTTTCTTCCAGTTCAGACTCTGTGGTGTCTGTGGTTTGGGGGCATAGCGATTTCCTTGTTTCATCAGCCGAGGTGACTGCCCTTTATCTGTAGTTGGTGTTCTCGAGGGAGGGCAGTAGAATGGAAATGCTCCTACTCCACCATCTTCAGTAGGAAGTCAGGATAGATTCCTGAACCCACTGGCATGGGTGTTGTTGTAAAGAAACGGGCCTGACTTTCTTGAGTCATTGAGGTGATGATGAGACTTGCCCCAGGTCACGGCGTTTCTCCTGAGGCCCCACAGACGTAGGTGTGCGTGCCACCCTGTCGTGCAGGACGTGGTGCTTCTGTGACAGGCCTCTGGTACCTTCCGGGCAAGGTGGCCCTGGAGCTTAAACGAGGGCCACATGGAGAAGCTGCGGAAGCACGACCCTCACGGAACCTCGTGAGGCTCATGTGGGTAGTGACGTCACTCAGGAGCGTGATGGGGAGCCTCTGAGTCACAGAACTCTCTCGCTTGAGGTCTTTTATTTATTTATTTTTAAGATTATTATTTATTTATTTGACAGAGAGAGACACAGCAAGAGACAGAACACAAGCAGGGGGAGCGGGAGAGGGAGAAGCAGGCCTCCCGCCGAGCAGGGAGCCCGATGCGGGGCTCGATCCCAGGACCTCGGGGTCATGACCTGAGCCGAAGGCAGACGCCCAACGACTGAGCCACCCAGGCGCCCCTCCTTTGAGGTCTTTTATTGCCCCAGGGTTTGTCTGATCTATGCCTAGCAAATGTGGGGTGCAGTTTCGTGGGTGATGTAAAGTCAATGAACTCTAATTAGCTAGAAAGATGTTTATCTAGGGGGAGCCTGCGTGGCTCAGTCGGTTAAGCATCCGACTTTTGATTTCGGCTTGGGTCATGATCTCAGGGTCGTGAGATCGAGCCCTGAGTTGGGTTCCACGCTCAGCAGGGTGTCTGCTCAAGATTCTCTCTCTCTCTCCTCCTGTCCCTCTCCCCACTCACGCACACACATACTCTCTCTAAAATAAGTAAGTAAATCTTTAAAAAAAAAAAATTTAAAAAAATAAAAAGATGTTTACCTGAACCGTATTTAAAGCAGCTGGATGTGTGAGAGCTTGAGTTTGTTGCTGGGGGCTTCGGGCTAATAGTCCTACCTGCTATGTAGACGTGAATAACACAGGGGCCATCTCTGGCTTATGTACATAATACTCCTGATCCCTCAGTCTCTCTCCCTAGGTGGCTTATTAAAGAATTTCTTTCAGCTCTATGTGGCCATTGTCCCAAAAGTTCTGGTACATTCTTTTCCCTCAATCTCATTAGATAGTAATGCCTTAGTGCCTGGGTGATGCTCAGAACTCAGACAGATGGTGCCCCAGGGAGGCTGCCTGCCTGGCTGGACCCTCGCTCTTATCACTTAGGGAACGTCACCATGAATCTTCACTGACTGCTGTCCCCAGCGTGGTCCTTCTAAAATGCTATCCTGATTCTGCCGCCACCTATCTTGGAAGACTTCACTCACCTTCCAGTTAGCAGCGTGTAACCTCTCTGGGGGTAACCATGTATATTTACAGCAAAGCCCCCACCATCTAGAGGATGGATTATGATGGGTAATTCCATTTTCCAGATCACTGAGACTATGCCTCCTTCAAGCCTTGCTTGTGTGTTTTCAAATTTGATTGCTTTCGGTGCAAATCTTCATCAAATGTATTCTTTGTCATCTTAAATAGACGCTTCTATGAGTACATGGTTTATTTTTTCAAAAGCCTTATTGAGATATAGTTCACACGCTATGCAGCCCGCCCACTGATCTTACTTGTCTCTTCTACCTCCAAGACCGAGCCTGGTGTCGGCAATAGAACAGGTGTCGTAAATAGTTGTTGGACTGAGCTGGAACCACACTTCAGATCACCTCTCTTGGAGAAGTCAGGGTCTTCTGCCTGGAAGCAGTGGTGCCCCTCTGTGCCTGGTGACATGCCCGGAACTGATTGTCCCAACACCGGAGGGTTCCCAGGCTGCTGATGTTTAAATCTCTCATGTGGGTTTTTCATACTTCTGTTGGTCCTCCCTTCCTTCCTGTGGCCAGCTGTAGTCACTGGGCCTGCCTCCAGCAACACCAGAGCCCCGGGCCACTGCCGCTGCAGCTTGCTGGAACAGCATATAAACGAGAGCGCCATGCTCTTTACGCTTAGGGGATGCGACACCCTCCCACCTCCCGGCCCTCACTCGTGGGACGACAATCCTTTATTTCCCTGTGGCTGATCAGGGTTCACATAGCTTCTACAAGATTGCTGAGCAAGCAAGGAAGATGTAGGCTGGGGAGGTGAGGGTATTTGTTCAAGGTCACACCATGGGCTGCTGGTGGAGTCAAGACCAGGTCTTTCCTCTGTGCTGTTGTGCCCACCAGCCTTTCAGGAAGTGACTCTCCTGCCCTCTCTTTCTCCCTCTCAGGGGTCCTCGGTGAATTTTGTCATGGTTATTTAAGGAACCTCGCCTAGAAGTCCCAACACGCATTTCCCCATCGACGGGAAGGCTTGGACTCCAAGATGATTATAAAGGAATATCGGATTCCTCTGCCCATGACCGTGGAGGAGTACCGCATCGCCCAGCTGTACATGATACAGGTGGGTCTTGGGGCCAGGGCAGGCCACCCGGGGCACACAGCTCCCCACACCCTTGGGGGGCGGGGGGGTGGCATTGTGGCCTTGACAGCCCAGTGTCTGCCCAGCAGGCTCCTGGCAAATGTGTGAACTGCATGGCCTTCTGGCTTCCCAGCACGACGCCAGGAACACAGCAGAGTGCTGTGGATGTTTGTGGCGTTGGGACGTCTCACCAGTGCTGCATTTGGTACTAACACTGCGTTTAATACCCGACCTCTCACCGATTCAGAGACTGTCTCTGTGTCCGGTCAGCTTGAGCTGCTATAACAAATACCACAGACTGGGGGCTTGGACAACAGACATTTATTTCTCAGCGTTCTGAAGGCTAGAAGCCCAAGGTCAAGGTGCTGGCAGAGTGGTGTCTGGTGAGGGCCCTCCTCCTGGCTTTGCCTGGATGGCCACCTTCTCACTGAGTTCTTGATGGTAGGGGGGCAAGGGGGCTCTCCGGGGTCTCTTCTGGGAGGGCACGAATTCCAGTGTGAGGGCTCCATCCTCATGACCTTATCATCTCCCAAAGCCTGACCTAGTACCATCACACTGGAGGTTGGGGGCTTCAACATACGAGTTTTGAGGGGACACAAAAGTTCAGGCCATTTGACAGACAGGAAGGTGTGAGCCAAAGAAGGTAAATGACTTGCCTGGGAGCACCTGGCCTATTTTCTGGTTCCCTAGGCTGCCAGCAAGACAGCAGTACCCACCATGTGGCTGATTTATAGTCACAGATGAGTTTGAGGATGACCGATTCCCATGACAAGCCAGAGATTACCATGCACCTCCCCTCCACCCCCCGCCCAGACGTTGGGGGCCTCCCTACTCAGAGCCTGGCTGACCTGGGACACAGAGTGGGGAGACCCGGGATCAGGTTGCAAGTGGTCCAGACGCCCCTACTCCCTGGGGTCCTGCTCCTCAGGGGAGGTCCTCCTCCCCAGCTGCCCTGCCAGCATTGTGCTCATCCTTGGTGCCCCCTTCGCCCAGCCGGGCAGCTTTCCTCCCAGTGGGGAGTCTGATTACGAACCTGTTCTCACCTGGCTCTGCTCTTCTGGGCATACAGATGGCTCGGTGCCACCCCTAGACCATGGCGTCACATGGGGCCCTTGGTGCGGCCGGCAGGGCTCCACCCTCCACCCCTGGAACTGCTTGGTGGGCGCTCACCCATCTACCCGGGTCTAGGGAGTTAGTAACGAGCTAGCCCAGACCGCTAGCCCCTTCTGGAAGGAGCCCCATGAAGCTACCAGAGTTTGAGCAGCTTCCCCCCGCCCCCCAGCATGGGGAGCTTGAGTAGGAAGAGAATGGAAGGTGAGCCAGCCTCTCTGGGGGGCTGTTGGCTCCCCCTGCTTCAGAAGTGCCACTCGGTTCCCTCTTGAACCATTCACCCTGTAATTATTCCTAGAGAGCGGGGGGAGGAGAAGGGACTCACCTCAGCCCCCCAGCTCTGAGCTATCTGGAAATGGCTCAGCCTGTTCAAGGACGCTGTTCATCCTGTGGCTCCCCAGTTCCCACCCAAGCCAGGGGAGCCCAGACCATGGCAGGCCTCCCCCCAGCTCCACCGTGCCCGCCAGCTGGCAGGACTGGGCCTCAGGATCCAGGGGCTCACTTTTAGCCCCTAGGATATCCCACAGCTTTTTGGAGCACGTGAACACCTCTGACTGGGCTCCTCAGAAGCACCTGCCATCCTCACCCCCTTTTGTTGAGGTATTTTGTTCTTTTCAAAACATCTATCCTTACGCTTCCAATTAATGTTCAATATCCTATAGCTCCCCCTACGTGATCCCTCCTGTGGGCCCGGGGCTGCCTGTGTGTGTTCGCTCATCCGAGCCCCACTGACACCTGTCTGTCTCTCCAGGCGACCTCTTCCTCTGCTCCTGCCTTGGCACTGTCTTACCTACCACTGGCCCCCGAACTCCTGGGGGTGCCATCCACCATGGGGGGTGATGGACGAGCATATTATCTCCATTGTGTGACAGTTTCACGGGTGCAAACATGCATCCAAGCTCACCAGCTGCATCTTTACATATATGTGGATATGTGGTTGGTCGTATGCCAATCATATCTCAGTAAAGCTGTTAAAACACTAAGTCAAATGCAGACTTTTCTGGGCCCAGCCTGGGCAGAGGGCTGGGTTACAGAGAAGAATGGAAAGAGCTTCCTGCTCTCCAGGAGTGCCATCGGGGAGGTGGATGTGCATGCCAAGCACCCCGGGAGAGCCTCCACTGTGAGCAGGGCTTCACGCGGTGGATAGGCCCTCAAGGAAGGCAGCTGTGTTTCTGTGGAAAGAAGAGGAAATTTAGTTTCTTTGCTCCTGCCCTGCTTACTGGCTGGGGTGGCAGCTAGCAACAGGTCTGCCTGCTGAAGTCACCACCTCCTCCATGGGCTCGGGAGCAAGGTGGGATGAGCTCACGTGTCAAATTGCTTCGTGCTGTGCCCGACCAGCGCTCAATATACATGCTGTTCAAGGCAACAACAACAAAAAGAAAAAGAAGAAGAAGAAGAAGGAGAAGAAAAGAAAAAAAGTTGGCCTGGCTGGGAGAGAGCCTTCCATCACCCGTGGAGGGGCTCAGCAGATGCTTGCCTTGGAGGGAGTGATTGGCCGTGGCTTGGCCAGGACCCTGGACAGCTCCAAGAGTTGCTCCTTTGGAGGGGGCCTTTGAGTCCTTCATCCCGTGCTTTTTCTGCACCAGGCCCATGGTGGCTCAGGTCCCTCCCATGCAGCCCCCAGATCCCACGGGATGGGGGAGGGGGACTTCCCCACTCAGCCTGTGTGGGCAGGGGTCATGAGTCAGGCTTCCCCTGGGCACATGTGTGCCCCTGGGGAGCTGGGGCTTATCTCTGCCGCCTTTCTGCAGTCTCCCTGGGAGGCTCCACAGCACAGCTTGTGGGAATGGTTGGCAAGGGTGGGGCGGGCGGCTTCTGGTGGGGGCAGAGAAGGTCAGCACGATTCGAGAAGAGCTTACTCCTATGTGGTATGACTGAGAGCCTCAGCTGAGCAGGGGACTGGGCACCCCCGGATGCCATTGCCAGAGGGGAGCCAAGGGTCAGCCCTTTGGGGTGTTAGCTCCAAAGTTGGGGGAGATGCCCAGGCTCAGAGGGAACCAGCGATAGTTGAGGCCAGGACCCATTTGTTCATCCAGCTGATCTTTACTGTGCAGGGGGGAAGAAAGTGCTATGCAGGGAGTACAGACGCACTCCCAGTCTGGGTCCCCGTGGCTCTGCCATTGCTAACTGTGGCCCCTGTGACCCCAAATGGCCTATGGTATCCATCTCCCATGAGTGACTTGTGTCCCCCCAAATTCATGTCCATCCAGAACCGTAGACTGTGACCTTATTTAGAAGCAGGGTCTTCGCAGATGTAATTAGTTCAGGACCTTGAGATGAGATCATCTTGGATTGAGAGTGGGCCCTAAATCTAATGACTGTTGTCCCTGTAGGAAGAGGAGAAGACAGAGACAAGGTGAAGGTCATGTGACAGTGGAGGTAGAGAGAGCAGAGTGATGTGGCCACAAGCCTAAGAATGCTTGAGGCCCCTGGACTGGAGGAGGCAAGGCAGGGTTCTCCCCTAGAGCCTCCAGAGGCAGCTTCTGGGATGGACGTGCTGGCTTGCTTAGGCAAGGAGTCTGAGGACAACTCAGGCTCAGGTCACCCGAATGGGCAGAGGCTTCTGTGCAGCCCTACAGAGGCCGAGAGGACCCTCCCCACCCCTGCTCCCTGTCCCCCGTCTCTTCTCCACCGTTGGCCCCCCAGCAGGCTGGGCACCCCACCTCGGCCCTCGGACACTCCGTGTAGCCCTAGCTCCTCTGACCTGCATGTCCCCTTCTCACCGAGCCACCCCGAATCCCAGATGTGTTTGTTTCCTGGGGCCGCCATAATAAAGCACCACAAACCGGGGGGCTTAAAGCCACAGAAATGTGCTCTCTCAGTTCTGGAAGCCAGAAGTCCAAAAGCAAGGTGTCAGCAGGGTTGTGCTCCTACTGAAGGCTCCAGGGGAGGATCCTGCCCTGCCTCTTCCAGCCTCTGGGGGCTGCCGGGGTTCCTTGGCTTACAGCTGCATCCCTCCCATCTGTGCTTCTATCTTCACTTCTTATAAGGACATGGTAGGACATGGATTGGATGTAGGACCATAGATTGGATGTAGAATTTTGGAAACTGACACCAGAGAGAAGTGACTCGTCCAGGATGAAAGGGAGCTGGTCACAGAGTTGGGACTAGAATGCATGCCTTTGCTCAATAAATAATCGGGTACCAGCCTTGTGCCAAGGTGTTTTCATGCTGTGGGCTGAGCAGGCCCCAGAGTCAAACAGACCTCAAGTTCAGGCCCGGCTCCGCCACCTGGAAACTGTGTGCCTCAAACAAGTCACTCCAGCTCTCTTAGCCCCTGCCTTCCCATCTGCAAACTGGGGACAGGAGCATACTGCACCTTTCTCAAGGGGTTGTTGCAATCACGAAAGGAGAAAGTACATGGAAAGAAAGCACTTGGCACAACTGTAACAAACGAAACTACCGCGAGAGGCAGGAGCTCACAAAGTGTCTAGGGCACGGTCGCTGCTTTCATTACAGAATCTGGGCCATATTCCAGGGGCTCCTTTAAAGAGTGAGGGATGGCGCATCCCTGCGGACCCCATATGTGCCCTCCACCAGAGTCTTTCCTATTTTTTTTCTGAAAGGGACTCAGCTGCTCTGGGCCACGGAGATATAGCACATCTTTGTGCCCTAGAGGTGAGTCCGTGCTCTTGGGAGTGCCTCTGTGTGTGTGTGTGTGTGTGTGTGCGCGCGCGCATGGGTGTGTACACTTAGGAGTGTGTGTGTGTGTTTGTGTGCACATGCACACACCTGCTGTTCAGGAAGCTGACCAAAGATGGCCTCGGCGATGGCGTCATGTCACCATGGAAACAGATGCCAGGCTTAAAGTCACCAGGACCTTGACCACGAGGCTTTCTGCATAAGCAGAAACCTGAGCTTTTGGACACTGGGAAGAACATTTGTGGCAGAGAGACACGCAGAGGTGACCCAGGCATTGTCCCTCTCAGGTGGCGCCGCTGCCGAGGCCCCTTCCCACACCTTGTGTTCGAGCTCTCTGAAACCCTAGTGAGTACAGACGCAGCGTTGGTTTCTGTTTGTTTGTTTTATACCAGCCTGATTGAGATGGAAGTGGCACACCACACAATTCACACATTTAAATTGTACAGTTTAGGGGTTTTTAGCAAATTCATAGAGTTGTCAAACCATCACCATGCTTTTAGAGCATTGTCATCACCCCAAAGAAGAAGTCACTCTCCGTCCCCCCACCCCATCCCCAGGCAACCAGTAATCTGCTTTCTGTCTGTATGGATTTGCCTGTTCTAGAAATTTCTTATCAGTGGGTTTGTACGCTATGTGGCCTTTTGGGTCAGGCTTCTTACATGTTGTTTTCAAGGCTCATCCACGTTGTGGCAGGTGGCAGCACCTCCTTCCTTCTTATGGCTGAATCATAGTCCATTGTTGTGTATATAATTTGTTTATCCATTCTTCAGATCACGGACATTTGGGTTATTTCAACCCAAATGGCTCTCGTGAATAATGCCACTGTGAACATTCGTGTACAAGTTTCTGTGTGGACATATTTTCCTTTTCCTGGATGTATACCTAGCGCTGGAATTGCTGGGTCATATGGCAATTCTATGCTGAGCTTTTCTGAAGAACTGCCGAACTATTTTCCACAGCGGCTGTACTGTTTTACATTCCCATGAGCAGTACGGGGGCGGGAGGGGGGCAGTTTCTCCACATCCTCACCAACACTTGGTATTGTCTGTCTTTTTAGCCATCCTACTGGGTCAGGATTGGTATCTCGTTGTAGTTTTGATTTGCATCTCCCTAATGATTAGTGATGGTGAGCATCTTTTCATGTGCTTGCTGACCATTTATATACTTCTTTGGAGAAATGTCTATTCAAGTTCTTTGGCATTTTTAAATTGGGTTGCTTCTTTGTTGTTGAGTTGTAATAGTTCTTTAGTATTTTAGATACATTATTGTCAGATACGTTATTTACAAGAATTTTTTCCCATTCTGTGGGTTCTCCTTTTACTCCCTCCATAATGTCCTTTGATGCACAAAAGTTTAAAAATTTTTATAAAGTCCAATTTATCTGTTTTTTTGTTTGGTTGCTTATATGTTGGGTATCATATTTTAAAAACCATTGTCACATCCAAGGTCATGAAGATTTACTCCTATGTTTTCTTCTAAGAGTTGTATAGTTTAAGCTCTTACATTTAGGTCTTTGATCCATTTTGAGCCAGTCTTTTTTTATTTTTTAAGATTTTATTTATTTAACAGATACAGTGAGAGAGGGAACACAAGCAGGGGGAGTGGGAGAAGGAGAAACAGGCCTCCCGCCGAGCAGGGAGCCTGACGCGGGGCTTGATCCCAGGATCCTGGGATCGTGACCTGAGTCAAAGGCAGACGCTTAACGACTGAGCCACCCAGGTGCCCCTGAGTCAGTTCTTATATGTGATGTGAGGTAGGGATCCAACTTCATTGTTTTGCATGTGGATATGCAAATTGTCCCTGGGACCTGCTGAAAAGACTTCTTTCCCTCATTGAATGATCTCAGCACTCTGACTGAAAATCAGTGCATATAGTATATAGATATATGGGTTTATTTCTAGACTCTCGACCCTTTTCTTTGGACCTATCCTATGCCAATACTACATTGTTTTGGTTACTGTAGTTTTGCAGCAAGATTTTATGTAGGAAAGTGTAAATGTTCCAACTATGCTTTGTTTTGTTTTCAAGATTGTGTTGGCTCTTTGAGATCCTTCACTGATCCTTCCTGATTTTAGGATCAATTTTTCCATTTCTACCAAAAAGGCCACTGGGAATTTTGACAGGGATTGCATTGGATCTGTAGATTGCTTTGGGGAATATTGACGTCTTAACAATGTTAAATCTTCCAATGCATGAACATGGATGTCTTTCCATTTATTTAGATCTTTATTTTCTTTTGGCAGTGTTTTATAGTTTTAGTGTGTAAGTGTTTCACAACCTTGTTAAATTTACCCAAGGTATTTTATTCTTTTGAATGCTCTTGTCAGTGGAAATGGTTTCTTAATTTCCTTTCTGCATTGGTTATTTTTGCGTGTGGATTTTGCATCCTGCAGCTTTGCTGATTTCATTTATTATGTCTAACAGGTTTGCGGGATTCTTTAGGATTTTCCGTATATGGGATTTTGTCATTGGCAGATTGAAATCGCTTTACTTGTTCTTTTCCAATTTGAGTGCCTCTGATCATTTCTTTTTCTTGACTAAATTCTTGGGCTAGACCCTGCAGTACAGTGTTGAATAGAAGGAAGAGAGCGGGCATCCTCGTCTGGTTTCTGATCTTGAGAACACTGTCAGTCCTGGGACCGACGGGAGTCAAAGGGAGGACTGTGCACTTGCAGTGCTGGAGCTCGGAGGGAAATCAAGTCCTGCTCAGTCTCCTGTAGGAGTGCTGGGAGGGGGGGTGGAGTCTGGGTCTGGATCTGGGGGTCCAGAAGTGACACAGGAAAAGCCAGCCTGGTTGGCCAAAGCCCTTCCTCCTCTCGGCGCCCCTGGGCCTGGTCTCCTCGGCCCCCTTCCCTTCTGCAGAGTGCTCTGGCCCCAACCCATCACAAGCACTTTTGTCCCCGCAGAAGAAGAGCCGGAACGAGACATATGGCGAGGGCAGCGGCGTGGAGATCTTGGAGAACCGGCCATACACAGACGGCCCTGGCGGCTCTGGGCAGTACACACACAAGGTGTACCACGTGGGCATGCACATCCCCAGCTGGTTCCGCTCCATCCTGCCCAAGGCAGCCCTGAGGGTGGTTGAGGAGTCTTGGAACGCCTACCCCTACACCCGAACCAGGTGGGCCTTTCCCCACACCCCAAGCTGTTGGGCAGGGAAGGAACCCTGGGGGTGGCCCCCTAGGTAGGCTCACCCTCCACACTCCAAGGAGCCCAGGCTCCTGGGGAGCTGAGCCTCTCTTCCAGGAGCCTCTGTCCTCAGGGATCAGGCAGAAGAGGGGAGGGTCAACACCTAGATACCTCTCCACCTGCCCCAGGGAGGCCGGGAAGGCACGAGGCAAGCGAGGGTCACCTGACACCCCTTTGCCTTCTGGGAAGGCTCAGGGAATACGAACGCCTGGTAATAATCACCTGACAATGGGGGACCATTAACCAACCATCTGGGAAGAAACATGAACCAAGGATAGACCAGATGGCCCAGAGATTCCCTCCAACCCTGAGACCTTCAGTACCTGTGACATTGTTTTATTATATTCCACTTTGAACGGGGCTTTCTTTGGATTCCCAAAGAAAGGAGGCTCCTCACTCCATGCCCCCACCCTCACCCATCCAGGGTAGCTGAGTAGAACAGACGGGGGGCTGCTCCTAGCTGGCCACCCACAGCTGTATAGGTGGGGGTCCCCATGAGACACCCCCCACTGGGTGAGGACCTGGGGCTTGTCAGAGGATCTGCTGAGGTTATTTCTCTTCCCAGAGGCACTTTCCTCCTCTGAACTCATCTCCAGCCAAGAGAGAGGGGCTGTTGCCTTGTTGCAAGACCTGGTGGCTCGGGGATGGGGGGTTTGGGACGTGACATGTCACAGAGTGCTAGTCTGGATTCACGCCACATGCTTGTGGCGTGTCTGTGTGTGCCTATGTCCCTACCGTGCCTTACACATGTGGACGATGGCCACAGGGTCTCTGGCAGCTTCCTATAATGTCTCCCTCTTCCCCCTAATCACATCCCCCCCTCCCCACAGCCTGGCCTCGGCAGTTCTCGGGACAAGGGGAAGGTTCCCGAGGTGGACAGGACAGGCGAATCTCGGCCACCACTCCAGCCCTTTCTCCCTTTCCTGCCCAGTGGGGTCCAGCAGGCCCTGACCCAGCCATCCCACAGCCACCCCTGCAAGCCACCGGTCCTGACGTGTGCTTTCCTTCCGCACACAGGTTCACTTGCCCCTTTGTGGAGAAATTCTCCATTGACATCGAAACCTTTTATAAAACGGATGCTGGAGAAAACCCGAACGTGTTCAGCTTGTCTCCTGTGGAGAAGAACCAGCTGACAGTCGGTAACCACCACCACAGCCCTCCCACCCCGGGGAGGGCCAGAGCCCCATAGGGCCACTTCCTGGCTCTTCCTGCCTGCGTGACCCCTTGGTTCTGCCCCTGGTCTCTGGGCCTGGCAGGCTCCAGACTGGGTCCTGTCCTGGGTGGGGAGGTCAGAGTCCAAGCAAGCACTGGGCACTGGGGGAGGCAGGACCAGCCTCCTTGGCCCCATGTTCCTGATGTGCACACTGACACTAGGTGCCTTCCCCACTCAAGCCCCTTCCCTCCATCCCTTCAAGGCGTCCTCCTCCCCGGAGTGGAGATGTGTGCTCAGGGGTGCGGGGGCGGTGGGGGGACCTCAGGCTGACTGCCGAACCTAAGTGCAGTGGGCTTGGGGGCACTGTGTCCCCTTGATGGTAGGTGGTCTCTGCTCCGCTGCCCTCCAGCTCACTCTGTCATGAGGAGACAGCCCCGTGTGTTCCATCCTTTTTAAGAGAGGCCAGAAATCAGGATTTGCATGTGAAATCGTCCAGTTCCTAAATAAACGTATGCTGGCCACACAGACCACATCCGTCGGGCCCCCTGCAGCCCAGCAGCCCCTGGTCTGCAACCTATGGGTTCCAGGCCCTATAGTGTGAGCCGCCGTGGGGGCACTGCAGGCAGGTGCGTGACCCGCGTTGGACAGGTGGCTGCCAGGGCCCCGGGATCACGCTCTCAGGCAGCCTCTGATGGGCAGGAAGGGCTTTTCCCTGGGCGCCCTCACCCGGCCCCCTCCCTCCTGCTGGAGTTTTCAGGCCCCACCAGGTTTCGAGAGCTATGTTAGTCTGCCCAGGCTGCCGCAACCAAGGACCACAGACTGGGGACTTAAACACAGATGCTCATGGTCTCACGGTCTGGAGGCCAGAAGTGGGGACAAGGTGTCAGCGGGGTTGTCTCCTGGGGTCACTGAGGGAGAATCTGTTCCGGGCCCTGCCCCTACCTTCCGGTGGCTGCTGGTGATCTCTGGCATTCCTTGGCTTGGAAACACATCACCCCAGTCTCTCCCTCATCTTCACGTGGCATTCTCCCTGTGCGCGCTTGTCTGTGTCTGAATTTCCCCTTTTTGTAAGCGCATTAGTCATCGTGGGGTAGGGCCTCCTACCCTAATGACCTCATTTTAATTTGATTACGTCTTTAAAGGCCTTATCTCCAAATAAGGTCACATTCTGAGGAACTGGGGGGGTCAGGACTCCAATATATGAATGGGGGGCGGGGTGGGGGGTACACATTCTACCCACAACAGGAGGGACGGACCCAGCATGATACAGGCCCTCCACCAGCTCAGGTCACGCCAGCCTTACACACGGCCTGAGCCCCATGGGCTCCCTCCGGAGGCCACCTGCCGTGGCTCCTAAGGCTCTGTAATATGACTCATTCCCACCCCAGCCCGCCCCTTGGCCTTTGCCTGCCCACACAGGCCGCACATGTGGCCTGCTCCAGGAAGGATCTCTGTCCCCCCCCCTTGAATGCCACTGCCCTTGGGCCGCTCCTGACCCCTTGCTGGTTTCAATGGAGCCCATGTCTGTGTTTGCAAACCACAGGACAGATTCAGTGCAGGCCGGCGAGCGGGGAGACGAGACAGCCAGAGCCTGGCCAGGGCCTGGCCCCCCTGCCCCCTGTGCCATCATCCCCACACATCCGGGAAAGGGGCTCTCTGAGCCACAAACTCTGTCCTGGGATTTATGTACCCCAAGTGTGTACCCAGCCCTGTGTAACACGTGCATGCCTTGGGAGGGGCACAGCAGGAGGAAGAAGCATGTGACAAGAGGTGGCATGGCCCAGGTCCTTCCCAGAGTTGCTGCTATTTCTCTTGGCCCCCATCCCACACCCAGCCAGGTCCCACCAGCCCCCAGTGCTCTTTCCCCAGCACCCAGCTCTATGGCCTCCACTACCCACTCTCAGGACCGGCTCAGGTCCGACACCTCCTGCCGGTCTCCTCCCTTCTGATCGAAGACGGGCTCCTAGCAGGCCAGCCTGCCTTAAAGCCACTGTGTGAATATAAGTAGAATATGGGACCACTTCCCCCGCAGGGTGCCGCTGGGTGCCCAGCCTGGTGAGAAGAGGGTGCATCGCCATCCCCTCCCCCGTACAGACACTCTGGTGGCTCCCCAAACTCTCCCATCCCGGGCTGCGGGGCCTTCTTGGCTTCACTGCTCTGCTCCTGTAGCTGAAACGTTTTCTGGGAAGCTCTTCCTAGCCTTCTGTCCGCTGCCGCCCTGCCGCCACAGCCCTCCTAATCCACATCCCCTGTGGAAATTCATCTCCCCATGCCTCCTCAGCTCTTCACCTGATTAACTGCTTAGAGTCACGGGAGGACACAGGCCCTGAGGTTGGGAGCGCTCAAGGTCAGAGTGGCCCAGAGCAGCATCCCCAGTCCCACGTTCGGCCCTACGGCACATGAGGCCCAGAGGCCTGTGAGGCCTTGCGGGCGGCAGGGACGCGGGGAGGGCGCTGAACGGGGAGGGGTGGGCTGGGGGCGGGGCAGAAGTGGCCACTGGCAGGCTCTCCCCACAGACTTCATCGACATTGTCAAGGACCCCGTGCCCCCCAACGAGTATAAGACAGAAGAGGACCCCAAGCTCTTCCGCTCGATCAAGACACAGCGGGGGCCCCTGCCTGACAACTGGATTGAGGAGTACAAACAGCAGGTTTTCCCCATCATGTGTGCCTACAAGCTCTGCAAGGTGGAGTTTCGCTACTGGGGCATGCAGTCCAAAATCGAGAGGTTCATCCACGACACCGGTGAGCTCACCCCTGCCCGCCGCCCCCCTCTTCATCTCTCTGTGATTCAACGTTTCCCTCTTATTCCCGAAAGACGACCCAAAGCCCATGTGCGGCTTCCCGCGGGGTGTATCTCGACCACTTGCCAAGCGCCTAGAGGTGACAGGCAGTGTATGTTGGTTGTCTGCTTAAGAAGCCCCAAAGCATGTCCCCAGACACTCTGACTGGCTTGTGTTTGTAGCTTATAGTGCCGACCCCCTGAGGGAGAGCAGCCCCAGGAGACAGCCTCCCTGCTGCTTACCTGCGCCAGGCCCTGACCCCAGCTCCGCCTCCCCCGTGGGCGGGACGTCACAGGGGCAGCGGGTCTTGGACACCATAAGGCCCTCACACCAATGGGACCAGGGGGCCCAACCTGGGGTTCCTCTCTCCCCTAGCACCCTCAGCTCCCTACTTGCCCCCCAGGTCGTGGCATGAGGTCAGTGCCAAGGGCCTGACCCAGCCCCAGGCTCATGATCCAGGAGTGGCATCTAGGCAGATATCTTTTGACTCCAAGAATCAGGGTTTGGGTTGAACTGTGAACAGAGCCACACTCTTGATAGTGTGTGTCGCATGTGTCCTATCAGCTCACAGTGACCGATGAGGATAGCCATGTCACCCCCGCTTGCAGAGGAGGAAGCAGAGACCCCAGGTCTCCCGTCCCAGCTGCCTGAGATCTGAGCTGACATTCTTGCAGCAACGGGCAGGGGCTTCTCAGCAGACAGTCTCTTCAGTGTGGGACCCAAGGGTGGCATGCCTGAGGCCATGGCCCAGGACTTGGGACACAGAGACAGTCTTGGCTGAAGGAGGGCACAGAAGGTCAAGGGATTTAGGAAGGATTGCAGGGGAGGCAGAGTGGCCTAAGCCAGGAAGAAGTGTCACTGGAGACCAGCCCGAGGACATGACATGGCCTGACCACTTGGAAAGCCACTCCACTTTCTCTAGGAAAGTGGAAGATGCATGCCCCGAGACCCAGTGACATCCGTCCCGGGTTTGCCCCCCAGAGAAATTCTTGTACACATTCCAGAGTGTTCAGAGCAGCAGATTTGTAAAAGCTAAGTGGACAAACAATGAAAGTGAGCCAAAGACCCAATGGCAAAAGAAGGAATAAACAAAATGGCATTGCAAACAAATAAATACCAGACAGCAACAAACCTGAAACTCACCCAAAAAAACCCCCACAAATGGCAGGAAAAGACATGCAGCATGACACAGACATGTAAATGTCAGCAACATGCACACCAGCCTAACGTGTCAGGTAGGAAAACACATCTGTGGGCTGCAAAAGGAGAGGAAAGTGAATGAGGCCGGAGCGGGCGGGAGGAGAGGGCGTCCAGGATGACCACCCCAGGGCTCCCTGCTTCTGGTCGCGTCTGCTCCCTCACTGGGGGTCGTGGATAGGGATGATGCTCTATTCTTAATGTTTTCTTAGTGAGCTTTATCGAGGCCTCATTTTGCATACCGTACACCTCCCCCCTTGTAAGAGGACAGTTCTATAAGTGGCAGTATATTCAGAGTCGTGCACACGGTTCTAGAACATTCCATCACCCCAGTCTTTTGTTCATGTTCACAGTCACCCCCACGCCCACCCCCAGCCCAAGGCAACCCCCCTCTGCCTTCTGTCTCTAAAGTTCTTTTATTATCCTTTATACCTTGAAAGCGATCTCATTTTCATCATTTGACTTGCATGCTATATTCTTCTACGTCTTACTTTGTCTTATTTTGTATCTTATTTTATATGTATATATGTTCTATTTGTGAAAAAGGACCAACCCACTTTGAACGGGAACTTGATTTCCATGTGGAAATTTGACAGCAAAAGTGTACTAGACACTGAGGCAGGAGACGGTGGGAGAGTCCTCCTCCAGCTCTCCCTGGGGCAGGAATTCCCCCCAAAGTTCAGTGTGGCTTCTGAGCAGCCATGATCCCTCAGGAGGCCACTCTGCTCCAATTATAGAACCTCGTGAGGCCATCTGTGAGCCAGACCCCTCATTTGCAGATGGGGAAACTGAGGCACCGGGAGGCAGTGATTTGCCCACAACCACACAATGGGTATAACCTCGGGGTGCCTCCCAGCCCCACGCCCAGCCCTGGGGGCTAACACTACCCGTCTCTCCTGTCTCCCCCTCCCGCCGCCGCCACCGCCTGGGGGCAGGCCTGCGGAAGGTGATGGTGAGGGCCCACCGGCAGGCCTGGTGCTGGCAGGATGAGTGGTACGGGCTGAACATGGAGAACATCCGGGAGCTGGAGAAGGAGGCGCAGCTCATGCTGTCCCGCAAGATGGCCCAGTTCAACGAAGATGACGAGGAGGCTGCAGAGCTGGCCAAGGACGAAGCCAGCCAGGCCCAGGTCCCCGGGGAGGCCCCCCAGCCCAGCAGCAGTGGCGGGGAGCCCTTGGCAGGCCGGGGCCTCAAGAAACAGTGGTCCACGTCCTCCAAGTCCTCGCGGTCTTCCACGCGGGGGGGTGAGCCCCGGGGCGCGCGGCGCTCCTGCCTTTCTCCGGGCTTGGGGCGGGGGGGCTCTACCCTCCCCGAGGCTGCCCCAGGACAACCCCCATCCACGGCTGCCGGCCCCCTGCCACGGCCAGAGAATTCTGACTCCAGACATGGACTCTTGCTCCCCACCCTTGTGGGCCACACCTGTGGGGAGTCAGAACCATTCTGCTGGTAGCCCCCCCGGCTCAGAGCGAGCCCAGGGTGCCTCCCCCCACAGCAGGTGACCCTGGACTCACCTACAAGGGCCAGGTGAGACAGGCCGGCCATGGGGTGGCCAGCTCCCAGCCTCTCCTGGGGCCCCGAAGCTACAGCTCTGAGGAACCAGGGTTCCCAGGAGGAGAGGGAGTCTGGGTGGGTACCCCCAGCATGCCCAGGAGGGGTCTCTGCTCCTGTGGCGGGAGCCAGGCTGAAGGAGCCTGAAAAACCTTTAGATCCTGAGAAAGGCCTTTCTCGGGAGAACTTTGGCAAAGGTGCTGTGGCCGGTTGGAAAAACCAGGGTATCCCGTGTACGGCCAGGAGTCTCCTCTGCAAACCCAGCTTCCCCACGCCAGGCTGGCCTGTCTCTGTGCCGAAGGGCGCTGTGGATGTATATATGTCAATACCTTTTATGTCACTCACCTCCTGAGAGTACCGCACAGTCCTATCTGCTCTGCTGCAGGAGAATTTCAGGGACTCCCCCCCTCCCCCCCGCCGGGCAGACCCCAGGCAAGAACACAGGAGCGGACCCCGGCCCGTGTGACTGCACGTCCTGGCCTGATACCCGATACCCTCCCAGTCCCTTGTCCTCCCTGGGACACATGCATGTGGAACCTTCTTGAAAGTTCCGGGAGCTTCCACCCCTCCCTTCTCCCTTCTCCCCCGAGCCCTCCTGGCCCTGCTCCGGCCTAGCCCAGCCGCCTGGTCGGTCAGCCTGAGGTTTTGCCTTCCAGCCAGCCCTTCCCGCCACAGCATCTCCGAGTGGAGGATGCAGAGTATCGCCCGGGACTCAGACGAGAGCTCAGACGAAGAGTATTTTGACGCTCATGGTAGGTGGCTCTTCCCGGGACGCAGGAGGGAGGATCTGAGAGGCTCAGGGCAGAGGATGAGATGAAATCCCCAGGAGTCGGGGGCCTCAGGCTCACCCCGGCCATGTACCGGGATGTAGGATGGATTCATACTCAGATGGGGGCTCTATGCCACATGTGGGTTTACTTCCACAAGAAGCTGGACATAAGCATGGCATCTTACAATTTTCCAAATCTTTGTAACGACCTTGCTTTGTTCTTGGTTCAATGGTTGTCCATCTCACGTAGGAAGCTTAGCAAATGCAAACAAGCAGGAAATATGGGAAATGCCCATTTTCCCACCAATCCCAAAATAAGCACAGTGAGCATACAGCCTCCTGAATCACCCGCCTTTGCTGGGAAGATGCGGGTACAGTTGACCCTCGAGCAACGCGGGTTGGAACAGCACAGATCCACGTATGTGTGGATTTTTTCTGATAAGTACCGGACCATCAGTGTGTTTTCTCTACTTTATGATTTTCTTTTTTTTTTTTTTTAAGATTTTATTTATATTTGACAGAGACACAGCGAGAGAGGGAACACAAGCAAGGGGAGTGGGAGAGGGAGAAGCAGGCTTCCCACGGAGCAGGGAGCCCGACGTGGGGCTCTATCCCAGGACCCTGGGATCATGACCTGAGCCGAAGGCAGACGCTTAACAACTGAGCCACCCAGGCGCCCCTCTTTATGATTTTCTTAATGACGTTGTGTTTTCTCTAGCTTATTTTATTGTAAGAATACGGAATATCATATATATGACATACAAAATCCGTGTTAATCGACTCTGTTACTGGTAAGGTTTCTGGTCAGCATAGGCTATTAGTAGTTAAGTTTCTGGGGAATCAAAAGTTTGAAGTGGATTTTCGACTATGTTGGGAGTTCGGCGCCCCAGCTCTGTGTTGTTCAAGGGCCAACTTCACTAAAACACTCCCGTGCTTCCCACCTTGGCTCTTCCTCTCCGCTGGCAGGCAGGTCTGTGGAGACTGGTTTCCAGCTTGCGGTTGATGAGGCAGGACACAGGCTCAGAGGGGGACAGACACTGAGTGGGCCGAGGCAGGCCAGAGCCCCTCACGGGGCCAGCCGTGGCCTGGAGCAGGCAGAGGGGCCACCTGATTATGGTATTTTCATTAACTGGCCGGTCCTTGAGGGAGAACTTGGGGAATCAGTGTCCAGGCAAAAGGGATCTGAGCTGGAATGGGTAGTTGGTGGTTCCTGAGCTTCCTTCTGCACCCGGGGCCTCCCCAGGGGGGAGGAAAGGTGTTTTGGGCCTCCCACCCATGCCCACCTCTTTGGGCAAGAGGTGCACCCTCTCCTGGCTGTGAGTCCCTGACAGGGGGGGAAATGCACATCTAACGGAGAAGCTTTATAAAAAAGCTGGAAGAGAGAAGAGTTAGCAAAGCAGGAGATGCCAGCGTGAAAGTGGCCGGGGAAGTGCCCGTCGGTGGGATGCGGGGCTGGAGGAGGGACCAGTGCCTGCCAGCACCCAGACAGCTGCCTCCAACCCAGCAGTACCCCAGGCTGCCGTTCTCAGCAAAGCAGAAACAAGAGTAATGGATGGAAGCGCCCACAGCGAGGCTGTCCGTTTGTGGTTGTTGAGAACGGTCAGGGACGTTAGCTGATGGGTGGAGAGACAAAACGTGGTCCATCCATACAGTGAAATAGGATTCAGCCGTAGAAAGGAGGGAACCACGGACACCTGCCACACTGTGCATGGAGCTTGGCAATATGGTGCTCGGTGAAAGAAGCCAGACACAAAAGACCACACATTGTAGGATTCCATTCGGTGAAATGTCCAGAACAGGCAAATCCATAGAGACAGGAAGTGGATCGGGGGCCGCCAGGGGCTGGGGGAGGGGACGGGGAGCGACTGCTAAGGGGTACAAGGTGTCCATTCAGGGAGATGGAAATGCTCTGGAACCAGACAGAGGTGGTGGTTGTGCAGCATCGGGAATGTACGAAAGGTCACCTTAAAGGGGTTTAAATGGTGAATTTTATGTTACGTGAAAATTATCACAGTTTCTAGAAAAGGTCAAGCAGAAGACCCCTGGATGTCGGGCATGGGTTCATCCTGCTCAGGAAGGGAGGGGTGGAAGCAAGCACGGAGGTGGACACAGGCCAGAGAGGGGCGGGGAGCCCCCAGAGTGGCCGCAGCGAGGCCCTGCACCTCCCAGCCGGGCCTCCCCACACTCCTCGGTCCCTGCCCTCCAGGGGTTGCTGAAGCCCTGCTGTCTCCCCCACAGAGGACCTGTCCGACTCAGAGGAAATATTCCCCAAGGACATCACCAAGTGGAACTCCAATGACCTCATGGACAAAATTGAAAGCCCTGAGCCGGAGGATACACAGGGTACCCGAGTTGGGCGGGGGGCTGCTGCAGGGCCTGGGGAGGGGGGCTGCAGGGGCCAGGCCGCTCCTCTCCGACCCAGCTCCTGTGCAGTGCTGGGCATCGGGGAGGAGGGGTGGGAGTACCCAGAGTCCCACTAGTCACGGTCACTGCCTCTGTCCCGTGGGCCTGGGGCTGCCTGGCTGCCCCTCTGCTCACAGCACCCCTGCTTATGTGTTGCAGACAGTCTCTATCGCCAGAGCGCCCCTGAATTCAGAGTGGCCTCCAGTGTGGAGCAGCTGAACATCATCGAGGTGGGTGCCCAGGGGGCAGAGGGCCAGGGGCTGTGCTGCCCGGGGCCCTCCGGGGCTGCAGCGGGAGGCAGCTGAGCTCAAAGGACGGGTCCCGTGGGGCTGCAGAGGCAGAACTCGGCACCCACCACCTCACGTCCCCACTGGCCTAGGCGCCATCACAGAGAGGACTGGGGGCTCCTTTACTGCCTGCCCCGACGTCCCTGAGAACCAAGAAGGACTGCAGACAGCCCCCAAAGAAGGCCTTGACCCAGCTCCGCCGACGGAAAGTGAAACGAGAAACTTGTAAATTCCAGACCAAAAAACAGATGTTCATCTTGTACCCAGCCTTTCCGCATTTGCTGAAGAAAATAAGATGGGAGGGGAGGAAGCGAAAGCCGTCTAGGCAGAAGTGAGCGGCCGCCGCCCCACTGGGGCCCCACAGGGCTCCCGGTGTCCAATAAAGCTGTCTTGGTAGAGCGCCTGTGTCCGCTTCGGGGGTTCTTTGCACAGGGCTCACGCCCCTTCTCCTCCTCCAGCTGTGGGCGGTCAGAGCTGTTTGCACTGGGGGCGGGAGTCAGGGCCGAGCGGAGCTGTCACACGCTGCGGTCACTGCACTGCTCGAGGTCACCATGCCGCTCTCACCTCCAGCTGCCCAAGGTGGGGACAGCGCCTCCGGGAACTCGGGACCCCTGGGGAGCTTGGGCCAGGTGCCAGAGAGGAGGAGCAGCATCCACATCCCCCTCCCCGACTTGGGGTTTTCTACTCTGCTGTCCAGGGTCAACGTGGGCTTTTCTAGAAGGCAAACTGGGATGAGGGGAATTGATTTCCAATTGCCAGTTAATGGCAAGATAAAGCACATGGAGCCCACTCCCCACCTAGGGCGCACACAGCTCTGACGGCCCCCTCGGGAGGGGCAGAAGGGGCCTCGGGCTCTGGATCTGCCTCGGGATGTGCGTTGGAACCCAGCACCGGTTCTGGGCACGGCCATCCAGAGTCAGATCCCTTGGCTTGCAATAGCCCTCAAACCGGAGCCTCCTCTCCCCGCCTTGTGGAGGGGGTACGGCTTTATGGAGACACTGACGGGGACCCCCGGCTCTCCAGAGCTGGTCCCACGGCTCCCAGGCCCACTGCCACAATGCACCTCCCTCGGGGCCTGTTCCTACAGGGTTTGAGTCTTGGGTGGGTGTGCCCCGGTATTAGGCACCAATGGGAGGACAGCCATGTCTCCAGTTGGCCTCTGGGAGTCCCTGAACAGTCCCAGCCTGCAGTGCTGGGTCCCAGGAGATAGGCTCAGGCCTCTCCCTGCCCACCCTTGCCCGTCCTGGGTTTTTGAGGACCGCTGGACTCCACCTCCCTAACTGGGTGATGGTGAGGCGGCCCTGAGACAGGCCTTCCTTGAGCGCCTGGCCTGGCTGTGTTGATAAGCCCTTGGTGCAGTGTGGTAGCTCCTCCTGGCGGCTGGGCTGCTGCCTGGGCCCCCTGATGGAAAGTGGAATCTGTGTTTCGAGGCTCATCCTCAGCCCCTGGTCAGGCTGGCTGATGGGAGGGAGCAGGGCTGCTCATTGGGGGGGGGAGGAGAGGGACCACCTCGGCCTCCCCAGGGGAAGGGGCTGGGGTGGCCAACACCAAGCCCTGTAGCTGAAGACCTGAAATGGGGCTTTGGAGAGGGAGCAATGGGCCAGGTGGGCCTCCCCTGGGGTGACAGGGGCCCAGCAAGGAGCTGAGTCCCCGGGGAGTTGACACCCCGCCAACCCACGCAGGACGAGGTCAACCCACCCCTGGCCGCGCCGGCCTCCAAGATCCACGTGCTGCTGCTGGTGCTGCACGGAGGCACCATCCTGGACACGGGCGCTGGGGACCCCAGCTCCAAGCAGGGTGACACCAACACCATCGCCACCGTGTTCGACACTGTCATGCGCGTGCACTACCCCAGCGCCCTGGGCCGCCTTGCCATCCGCCTGGTGCCCTGCCCACCCATCTGCTCTGATGCCTTTGCCCTAGTCTCCAAGTGAGTGCATGGGACTCAGACCACCTGCCCCAAAGCACCTGGCCCCAGGGGTCAGGCTGCTCCCCTAGAGTCAGGAACCCCGTCTCGATGTCCAGACTTATCATCCAGCCCTTTCTGTCTGGAGGTGACCCAAACCTATGCAGATGGCTAGGCTTACAGAGGAGGGGCCCCGGGCCCAAGGCTGAGCCTCAGTTGCCCTATCTGCGATGTGGGGATGTAGACCTGCCCCTGAGACACAAGGCCTTACCCCCCGCCCCCGGCCTTGTTACCCAGCCTTCCAGGGCCGGACCCAGAAGCGACCCCGTGAGGTTGGCCAAGTCACAGCTAAGGCTCTCGGGTGGCAGGCCTGCTGCTGTGGTCGGGGGGAGGGGCCCCGCCTGCTCTCTCCTGATCAGGCCCCCTCCCCCAGCCTTAGCCCTTACAGCCACGATGAAGGCTGTCTGTCCAGCAGCCAGGACCACATCCCCCTGGCTGCCCTGCCCCTGCTGGCCACGTCCTCACCCCAGTACCAGGAGGCGATCGCCACGGTGATTCAGCGGGCCAACCTTGCCTATGGGGACTTCATCAAGTCCCAGGAGGGCATGACCTTCAACGGGCAGGTGAGTCATGGGGCGGGAGAAGGGCAGACAAGCCCCGCAGGGCAGGGTGGCGACGGCCCTCCCCGGCTGGCACCCCAGCAAGCAGGGAGGGCACTCGGGCCTCTGGTGCCTCTCCGTCTCTAGGTCTGCCTGATCGGGGACTGCGTCGGGGGCATCCTGGCGTTCGATGCCTTATGCCAGAGCAGCCAGCCAGTGTCTGAGAGCCAGAGCAGCAGCCGCCGGGGCAGCGTGGCCAGCGTGCAGGTACCGGCTTCCCGCGGCCCCCAGAGCGGGGGACCTCGGGGGGCGGAGGTTGCCGGCACAGGGGCCCAGAGCCGCCGGGGTGGGCGCATGGGGCGGGTGAGCAGCTGCCGCAGGACCGAGCCTGGAGCACATGAGGCTTCAGCAGGCGGTGGAGCAGGGTCTGCACCGTAGGGAGCTGGGCTCTGGTCCCAGGAGGTGGAGCGGGCAGCCCCTCTGAGCTTCCCGGCAGGAGGGTGTCCGGGGTCCCTCCGCTGCAGGGAGCACAGCGGGGCAAGGCCGGGCAAGGCAGCGAGGTCAGCGAGAGGTCCCAAAGACCCGGGTGGCCAGGTCAGGCAGGAACGGAAGCTGTTGGGACTCGGCCAGCGGGCGGGGTGGGTGGACAGTGGGGCCGCCGGGGGACAGGGCTTTCCCCTCTCTGGTGTGGGTGAGACGCTGGCTGGGCAGTGGCCAGTAGGCCTGGAGTCGGGAGGGAGAACACTGAAGCTGGGCCCAGGCCAGTGGCCACCGGGCAGTGAGCCTGCATGGGGCTGTTCCAGGACACTGACCTGCTGTCCCCCGGCACCCTGGTCAATGTGGCACATGGCGGCAGTGGCAGTGGTGGCCTGGAGAGCAGTCGGCACCTGAGCCGCAGCAACATTGATATCCCCCGAAGCAATGGTGTCGAAGACCCCAAAAGGCAGTTGCCCCGAAAGAGGAGTGACTCATCCACCTACGAGCTGGATACCATCCAGCAGCACCAGGCCTTCCTGTCCAGGTGGGTGGGGCCAGCGGGGCCCCGAGGGTCTGGCCATAAGGCCTGTGGCCAGGTGAGGAGGGGGACTCCAAGAGGGGGGCATGCCTCGGAATTGAGGACGTGAACCAGGTCGTGCCGATGGCTGACATGAGGGGACTGGGATGCCCGGGCTGGACCCGTGGCTCTTCGGCCAAGAGGAAGTGGCTTGTTGGGTGCATCTGGGGTCTTGTACACACCGAGGGCCATCTTGGGCCCAAGGGAACAGCTTGTCCAGGGGTGGGGCAGAGTCGGGGGGCAGAAGCGATCAGGGGTGGCTGTTCTAAAGGCAGTGGCACCCCGAGAGAGATGTCCCAGTGGGCACTGGGCAGCCACATCTGCAGGACAGCTCAGGGCCTGAGCCTCGTCTGGGGCTTCCTTTGGGAGGCTGAGGGGTGTGGTGTGACCTCACGAGGCCCTCCATCTGCAGCCTCCATGCCAGCGTGCTGAGGAATGAGCCCAGCTCCCGCCGCTCGAGCAGCTCCACCATGCTGGATGGCACAGGGGCTGTGGGGAAGTTCGACTTTGAGATCGCAGACCTTTTCCTCTTCGGGTGCCCGCTGGGGCTCGTCCTGGCCTTGAGGAAGACTGTCATCCCTGCCCTGGATGGTGAGAGCTCTGCAGGGACAGGGCGGGGCAGGGGGTATATGAACTGGGTAGAGGGTCTCAGTGGACCCCTGCCACAAGGCCATGGCCACATCCCAGGCTCCTTCCTGCATCAGCCTCATTTCTGCCCTCCCCAGCACAGGCTCGCTGCTCTCCTTTGCTCCTACTCCAGCAGCTCAGTCTCTGGCCCCCATCTCTTGGCCCCTGATGTTCCATTTCATCTTCAAGGCACCTCTGGGAGCTGAGGTGCAGAAGGGAAGGGGCTGCCCTGGTATCAGATGGACACAGACCCAATCTCCTGGGCCCAAAGTCTTCCCATAAGGAAGAGATTGGAAGCCAGGCACCCCCAAATCCTCCTAGGTGCCTGGCTTCCCAGTCCCAGAAGGGCCGCGGCCACACTGCTCCGGAGACCCTCCTCAAGGCCACAGGGGCAGGGGGTGTGACATGCCGGCTGAGCAGCCTGTCAGCAGCAGTCCCTGCAAGGTGCCCACGGGAGCAGCCAGTGTGGCCCCTTACAGGGGCTGTGCAGGACCCACATTACATCCGCAGGTTACAGAGGGGCAAACTGAGGCTCAGAGAGGCATGGACCCTTGCCCAAGAGCAAGCCAGAGGTGGCTTATATATAAGCGGACAAAGACATGGGGACAGTGATGTATGGCAACATCATCTGTAATCGTGAAACACGAGAACCGCTGTAAACGTTGGTCCACGGAGTGGGGCTGGTTGACTAAACCCTGGCGCGGCCCACGATGGAGGATGCCCGCGGCGGAAGACGGGTTGATGGAACTGGCAGGGCTGACATGAAGGACGCCCACGTTTTGGTGTTACATGGGGCTGGAGGAGGGGTTCAAAAAGGAAAGCACCTGTTTTTCCGTGTGTGTTTAAAAAGTGAGACGTCTACTACTGCTCTTTATACTTACGCTCACCCTGTCTCCCCAACAACCATGACGTGCTCGGAGAAGCAGCCCCATCTCACAGCCTAGGGCTCCACTCTGCTCAGTTTAAAACAAATTTGGTTAATAAGCGCACAGAGACCAAATCATAGAGACAGGCTTTCGGATGCCCCGCCCCCTCTGCCGTAGACCCCGCCTCCTCAGGGCTCTGCCATCCCCCACCCCCACCCCCACGCCCTCTGCCCCCAGTTTTCCAGCTGCGGCCGGCCTGCCAGCAAGTCTACAACCTCTTCCACCCCGCGGACCCTTCCGCCTCCCGCCTGGAGCCGCTGCTGGAGCGGAGATTCCACGCCCTGCCGCCGTTCAGCATCCCCCGCTACCAGCGCTACCCGCTGGGGGACGGCTGCTCCGCGCTGCTGGGTGAGCGGCGCCGGGGGCCCCTGGGGGGGCGGGGACGCGCCTGCACCGGGCTCCTCCCGGAAGCTGGGTCCGCGGTGTAGGTACGGGGCTGCGTCAGCAAGGGGGGGTCAGGGCCTCACCCCAGGTGCCGTGGGGGGCAGACTGGGACGAGGATCCCCTCCCCGCCGCCTGAGGCAGAGCTGTGTGGGGACCCCTCGTGGCAGCGGGCGTCCAGGGGGTTCAGAGCAGAGTGCTTGTGTGAGGACTGCTGCGCATCGCCCACTCTTGGCCCTTCCCGGGAAGCCCCCAACCCCCGCCCTCAAGTGTGTCCTGGCGTCCTGTGCCGTCCTGGTCTGCAAGGAGCTCCACGTGTCCGTGTCGGAGGAGTGCGTCTGGACTGCCCACGCGAGTGTCTGTTCTTGTCCTCTCTGTTCTCTCCCGTCTGCCTCCAGTCGAGACAGTGCAGAGAAACCCCGAGCTGGTCCTGGAGGGTGGGCCCCTGGCCCCTCTCCCCCCAGGGGACGGCTTCCTGGAAACCAGTATCCCCGTTCCCGCGCTCACCTGGCAAGACGGGCCCCGCCCGAGCCCGGGCTGTGCTGAGTGTGTGTAACACCCCCGTTCGCGGTGGCATCTGCTTCGCTGGCTGACTGCTGGTCCTCAGGGACTCCCCATGCCCTCCTTGGCCACTTGGAGTCTGTGGGACCGTGGTGTCCCACGGAGACCAAACAGGACAAGTCCTAGGGACCGGGCCCTGGCGCCTCCTCTCTACACACCGAGAGCCGAGGAGCCCAGAGGGAGGAGCGGCTGTCCCAGGGTCACCTAGCATGGGTGTCAGTCCAAAGGCTCCGTCTCCCATTTGTGAGGCTGGAGAGGGCAGCCTGCAGACAGGGTGAGGCCTCGAGCCTCATCCCACCTGCTCCCCAGGAGAAGCTTCCGGTTCCAGTGAGGGGTTGATTCCAGAGTCCCACTCCTTCCCTGCCTGAGGGGGTGCAGGCACCTCATGCACCCCATCTGCACGTGGGTCCTCTAGCTGAGCCCCCATTCTCCCTGCTCTGCCCTGGCCCAGTTGAACCCTCGGCACCTGCCTTTGTCCCCAGACATCCATTCAGGGCTGGCTCAATGTGGCCCGTGTGAGGCACATGCAGGGGTGTTGCCTCATCAGTGCCCAGCACTGGGCATCCCCCAGAGACCACTTCAGGCCCTCCTGTTAGTGCCCCTCAAACCCAGCGACAGTGCGCTGCGGGTCAGGCCCTGCTAGGCTGAGCCCGGGACGCTGGGAGGGCTAGCCAAGATCAGGAGTCGCGTGTTGGGTCAGATGGGTGGCCAGGGGGGGCGGGAGCCCGGCCGCCTTGCCTCCCTGCCTACCGTGTCTGTGTCGGTCCGTCTGTCCGTCCCTGCCCCAGCCCTGCCTCCTCCCCCTGCCTCGGCTCAGTGCCCTGCCCTCTCGGCCCTGAGCAGGCAGGCCCTGGCACGCTTGGTCCCATCCTCACTGCCCTGTGCTCAGATGCCACCGCTCACCTGCGGCATGTCGGCCGCGGCTCCAGCCCCCCCCCCCCCCCCAGGGCATGCTGGGCCCTACCTCCCGCTGCTCAGGGGGCCGGGGGACGGGCTGGGGGGCCGTCTCTTACCCACTGGTCTCTGGTCCTTGTCTACCTGCAGCGGACGCACTCCAGACCCACAGCACAGTCTTTCAAGAGCACGCGGCCCCCTCCTCGCCCGGTGCAGCCCCCACCAGCCGAGGCTTCCGCCGAGCCAGTGAGATCAGCATTGCCAGCCAGGTGTCGGGCATGGCCGAGAGCTACACAGCGTCCGGCATCGCCCAGAGTGAGTGCAGCAGTGTCCTGGGCCGGCCCCCCCCCCGCACCCTCCCCTCTGTCCTAGCAGGGGGTCCGCACCAGCCATACCCCGGGACAGTCGGCAGTGTCTGGACACAGCTGGGGAGGGCACTACCGGCGTGGATAGTGGATAGTGACCGGGTGCTGCTCAACACCTACGATGGCCCCAAACGTCCAGAGAGAACTCTGGAGGGGGGAGCCTTCGAAGGGGCTGCCCAGCAGGGCCAAGTCCAGGTGGGAGGCGATGGGCCTGGGAGGAGGGGTCCTAACCCCAGGCGGGGGGCTGGTGCTCCCCGAGGAGGAAGCTGTGGGCTGTTTCCGGACAAGCCAGAGGGGCAGCGGAGGGGAGCCTGGGAGGCGGGATCTCACTGTGGCCGCCCCGCTGTGGCCTCCTTCGCTGCTTGGCTCCTCAGAAGCTTCGCAGCAGCTAGAAACGGAGCCCAGGTCACCCCCACTCAGCCCCCCAGGGCCAGCTGCCCTCTCCATCCTCCCTGACCATGTGACTGGCTGCCTGTCTGGCTGAGCAGGGCTGCCTGAGCTGTGGCCGGCATGAGTATCCTTCCGCGAGGGGCGCCAGGGAGCCCGGCACCCTTCCCCGCACCCTTCCCAGCCTGCGGTGGCGGCCTGGGCGCCCCAGCACGGCTGACCCTGCCGCCGTTGTTCTTGCTTCTCAGAGGCCCCGGCGTCACTCAGCCATACCCCCAGCGTCAGGCGCCTGTCTCTGCTCGCCCTGCCCCCCCCGCCCCCCACTACCCCGGGCCCCCACCCGCAGGCTGGGCAGGCGAGCCCCAGCCTGGAGCGGGCCCCCCGCCTCCCTGACTTGGACACCAGAGAAGGTACTGGGCGTCACACGGCCTCCATCCACACACGCTGTCCTCCCCTAACTGGGGTCCCTCACCGCTGCCAGGCCCACCTCACCGTCAGGCCCTGCCCGCCGAGGCCTGACCAGGGAGCTGGAGGCTTGGGCTGGGGAGGAGGCGGAGGTGTTGGAGTTGGCTGGGGGGTCAGGACCAAGGGCCCGTGTGTGTGGCGAGCAGGCGGCGGGCAGAACACAGGAGAGCCCTGACCCGCACCAGGGGCTACGTACAGAGTAGCTGCTGCGTGCGGCCATCAGGAAGGCACTTTCTAACCCTTATCTGGAGCTAGGGCGGTTTCCCAGCCCCGAGTGGGAGTCAGGATTTGCACCCAGGCCTTGACACTTGGCCTGCAGGCTCCCAGGTGCTGAGGGGACATCAGGCCTTGCCTTGGGGTTCACCCCGACAAAGCCTGTCACGGGCCTGAGGTCTGCAGGGCAGACGGGGGGGGGGGGCAGGAGAGGCCTGAAGAGGACAGTGACCGGGCCCAGGGCAGGGGGGCGGCAGGATCCGCGACAGGACCAGGGCTAGTCCTGCCTCCTGGCCGGCATTGTCCCCTCCCACTGACTCCACATGCCCCTTCCTCACGGACTGCATGCTCTCCACGGAGGCCCCCCGCCCGCATCCCCAGGCCTTCGGGCTGCTTGCTCACTACCGCAGAGTCCTGCGGCTTCCCTGCTCCCTTCGGTCACCCGGCCAGGGAGGAGGAGGAGGAGGAGGCTCGCTTTGGCTGCAGCCCTGCTTCCCCGGTCAGAGGAGGGTCTGGTCTTTGGGCTGAGCCAAGCCCGAGGGGCCTGGCACCCTCCGAGGGCAGCCCGGTCAAGGCCCTCCCCCTGGCAGTTGCAGCAAGGTGGTGGGGCCAGAAGCGGATCGACTATGCCTTGTACTGCCCCGACGCTCTGACGGCCTTCCCCACCGTGGCCCTGCCGCACCTCTTCCACGCCAGCTACTGGGAGTCAACGGATGTGGTCTCCTTCCTGCTGAGACAGGTACCCGGGGGGCCCCCCGCCAGGAACCGCCAGGCCCCACATGTGGACCAAGTGATGGCACCACTGACGTGGCCCCAGTTCGGAGACAAGGGCGGTGGGGGCTCCCCTGAAACCACAGAGCAAGCAGGATGGAGGAACGCTTGCCGACGTTGGGGCGGGGTGCGCGTATGCGCATGTTCATGAGACGTGTGACTTCGGGGGGACCAGAGAGTGGACTGTAGTGGGTTGAAGGGTGTGCCCCAACCCTTCACGGTCTCCCATTTCTGGCTCCGAGGGCCACTGGCCTCCCCCTCCTAGAACAGGCAGCCTTGAGACGGCCCCGGGCCCGGCTCCTTCCCCTCAGGTCATGAGGCATGACAACTCGAGCATCTTGGAGCTGGACGGCAAGGAGGTTTCGGTGTTCACCCCCTCAAAGCCAAGAGAGAAGTGGCAGCGCAAGAGGACTCATGTGAAGCTTCGGGTGAGGGGGGCCCCCACATCCGCTGTCCTGCTGCGTCCTCACAGGACACCCTGTTACAGACGAGGAGACCGAGTCACAGAGTCACATGCTGTCTTACTTAATCCTCGGTCTGTGAGGTTGGAGCTATTACCCCATTAATAGGCAGGGAGGTGCACCAAGGCCACGTAGGTCGCGTGGCTGACCCGGACTTGAACCTGGGCCCTCTGGCTTTAAGCCCCGTGCTCACCCACCAGGCCCAGGAGATCCTAGCCGTCCTTCCCTCCCCTCCCCTGACCCAGCCTCGCTCCTCCTGTCCCCAGAACGTGACCGCCAACCACCGGATCAATGATGCAGTCGCCAACGAGGATGGCCCGCAAGTTCTGACGGGCCGGTTCATGTATGGGCCCCTGGACATGGTCACTCTGACTGGGGAGAAGGTGAGGACCCGGGGAGGGCTGCAGGAGCTCCTGCCTGGCCTCCCCCTGGCTGGGGAGCGGAGGCTGGGGAGGCCAGGGGCCCCGGCCCCTTCCTGACCAGCTCGCCTGGCCCCCCAGGTGGACGTGCACATCATGATGCAGCCGCCCTCGGGCGAGTGGCTGTACCTGGACACGCTGGTGACCAACAGCAGCGGGCGGGTCTCCTACACCATCCCCGAGACCCACCGCCTGGGTGTGGGCGTCTACCCCATCAAGATGGTGGTCAGGTGAGCCCGCCTCTGGGGAGTGAGCAGGCCAGGCCGGCCACCCCCGGGACAGGGAGGAGGAGGTCTGGTGGGTTCTAATGAGCCCCCCCCCAACCCCACCGCAGGGGAGACCACACGTTTGCGGATAGCTACATCACCGTGCTGCCTAAGGGCACGGAGTTTGTGGTCTTCAGTATCGACGGCTCCTTTGCTGCCAGTGTGTCCATCATGGGCAGCGACCCCAAAGTGCGGGCCGGGGCCGTGGACGTGGTGCGGTGAGTGACGCCGAAGGGGCACTTCGGGCTTGGGGGCAGGAAGCTCCTGGAGGCCAAGCTGGGGAGGGCTCTGGGACACTTGGCAGGGGCTCACGGAGTCAGCACCGCCACTATCTAGCGGTGTGACCTCTTGATGTGGATGCCTCAGTTCCTCAACCTGAGCAGTGGGGCTCCTAACGAGACCAGTTACACCTGCTGCCGAGGGCATCCATGGGGACTGGGCAACCTGGCAGACTGTCCTCGCCATGGCTACTGTTTCTGCTGAGCCCCATCGGAGACGCGCTCTCCAGCGGCCCAAGGAGAGACTGGCGGGGCAAGGAGATGGGGTGGCCCAGGAGGGAGGCCCGGGCGACCGTGGGACACCCAGGCCTCCCCGCTTCGCCCCCAGGCACTGGCAGGACCTGGGCTACCTCATCATCTATGTGACGGGCCGGCCTGACATGCAGAAGCAGCGGGTGGTGGCGTGGCTGGCCCAGCACAACTTCCCCCACGGTGTGGTGTCCTTCTGTGACGGCCTGGTGCACGACCCGCTGCGGCACAAGGCCAACTTCCTGAAGCTGCTCATCTCCGAGGTGGGTCCCAGGTGGAAGGGCTCAGGGGCGGGGCGGGGGGCGGGAGGGCCGTGCCCGTGCCCACGCCAGTCTCACCCACAGCTGCACCTGCGCGTGCACGCGGCCTACGGCTCCACCAAGGACGTGGCGGTCTACAGCTCCATCAGCCTGTCCCCCATGCAGATCTACATCGTGGGCCGGCCCACCAAGAAGCTGCAGCAGCAGTGCCAGGTGAGCGGGCGAGTCGTGCTGGGTGGCACGGGCGGGCAGGCAGGCCCCGAGAGCCCAGCCCGTGACAGCCCTCTCCCTCCCCGCCCTCCTCCGCAGTTCATCACGGACGGCTACGCAGCTCACCTGGCCCAGCTCAAGTACAACCACCGGGCGCGGCCGGCCCGCAATGCAGCCACCCGCATGGCGCTGCGAAAAGGCAGCTTTGGCCTGCCGGGCCAGGGCGACTTCCTGCGCTCCCGGAACCACCTGCTCCGCACCATCTCGGCCCAGCCCAGCGGGCCCGGCCACCGGCACGATCGGACGCAGAGCCAGGCGGACGGCGAGCAGCGGGGACAGCGCAGCATGAGCGTAGCGGCGGGCTGCTGGGGCCGCACCATGACCGGCCGGCCTGAGCCTGGGGCAGCCGCGGGCCCCAAGTAGGACACCGTGAGTGAGGCGCTGTGGTCTCCATGGTGCTAGGCCAGGGCGGCCAGCCCTGCCAGGAGGCCTGGCCTGGGCACACAATGTCGGCTGGAGACAAGCTTGTCCCAGGACCTGGCGGAGGACATAGGCCGTGCCACACAGCCCTCCCAGCCCTGCCTCGTGTCCTAGGGTCTGAGGGGTTCCAGCTTGCAGGAAGACCTGTCCCAGGATGACAGAGGGACCAGGACTCCCCACGCGGACTGGCCAGGAAGGCACTCCTAGACATTTGCCCTGCATTGACCTCCCAGCGTCCCGACGCCAGGCCTGGACCCGGGCCCAGCCCGCCACCTCCCATCCACTAGCTCACCCTGACCCCCAGGTCCCCCCCCCCCACTTGGTAGCAGTTCCAACGGGGGACAGCCTGCTTCTTGTTAACTCGAGTTACTCAACTGTTCAACCTCACTGGTTTTGCACTGATTTTTGAGAGTGGAGATCCATTACCATCTCCTGTGGCTACGGACATGCATGAAAAGCCAACATTCGCTGATCTGGGACCTCTTGCCACACAGAAGGCTCCAGGGCGGCAAATCCTTGTGCAAGCAGGAGAGAAAGGCCATATCTTAATTTCTGCAGCTCCGCCTGGCCCGCCAGTGCTGTGGCAGCCCCGGACCCCTGCCTACCTGTCCACTCGCCCCACCTGGAACCCAGTCCAGCGGCGAGGCTGGGGAGGCCCAGAGCCGTCTCCCGAGAAGCCACGCCTCGGGCTCCTGGGCCTGGCCGGGCCGGCCTCCTCTGCCACCCCTCGCCTGCCGTCAGTCAAGGCCACGTGCCTGGGCTCTCCCGTTTCTACACCTTTCTACTTCTCCAATCTGATTTCTATGAGGTTTTTTTAAATGAGCAATCCTTGGCTGCTTCCTTTTCTTAACTCTTTCAGTACCAAGCGCAGCCCCTCCACGTGAAAACACCCAGCACTGTGACGGAGTCCAGCCTGGTTCTGGGTCCCGGGGCCCTGCCCCCCCCACCCCGCCCATGCAGTGGGGCGTGGGGTCCCCGCCTCACCAGACCCCCATTAATTCCACTGAATTTCTACTCTGGGGTGAGTGGGGTGCACACTTAAGTAAGTTTTTTTAATGCCAATTCCGTTTTGATGCCGAATCTAAGAAGCCACAACTTGCTTCGTTAGCTTAAGGGCAGGCAGCCAGGACGCCATTCCCCTCTCGGTAAGGACCGCGCTGTCCTGCACGCTGGGTCCGAGCATCAGCCCTCCCTCCCCAGAAATGACCATGATCTCAGCTGTGGCGCTCGGCTCCGGGCGGCCCTTCTGCTGCTTCTCCTCCTCCTACGTAAGGCGGGGGAGCCTGCCTGGCCAGGCTCCGACTCTGAGAAGCTGCTGCCAACCTGGATACGGCCTCAGGGCCATGGGCTGGGGCGGGGAGGCACACCGATTGATGTTAACATTCTCCCGTGTGTAGATATGTACAGCCAAAGGGTCGTGTAAATGTTCCACGAAAGTGGGTCTATACAGAGTGAGAGCTATTTATTTTGTGCAGAGAAAAATTTCTGGAGGGATAGGACCTTCAGGGTTTGTTCATATTTAAGATGTAGCTTTTTGTTTTTGTTTCAGGCGTTATGTATAAAGCAACGATTATTTTATGGACCAAGTTTTAATGTAAGTGTTGCAATGGAAGTGCAATACCTGACCCCCCCCTCTGCTCCCCGCAGGGGGGGGAAACCGCTTGGCCTGACAATCACAGCCCGGCGGGGGGCCCCCCGTGGCCAGTGCCTCCTCCTCTGTCGGTCCCACCTCACCCCATCTTGCCTACCGCCTGGGTGACCAGCCATCCGGAGAAGCGCCTGGAAGAGTCTCGGGCCCGCCTGCAATAAAGGCTGGGCGGCCTCCTGGCCCGGGGAGGCCGTGTGGGCAGTGGGTCTGGCCGCTCCCAGCGGGCAGCTCCCCCAAGCTCTGCACTCCCCGCCCACCTGCCCAGCTGCCAGCCATGCCAAGGACAACAGCAATAGTCCCCTGGGCCTCTCCCAGCGGCCCTTAGCCATAGATGGTGAGATGGGCAGCCCACCCTCCCCGTTGACGTCTCTCTTCTATATCCAGGTCTGCTTCCTGCCTCCCTAAAGATTCCTTTTGGCACATTCTCTTCTTAAGGAAGCACCAGTTTTTCAGAAACTAAGAGGGAGGGCAGAGTCCTTTAAAAATACCAAAAATGTTTACAGCGTTGGGTGCTGAGCTGCAGGGCTCAGGCCTGACCAGTCGTAACCAAAGGGTGAGGCAGGCCTTGCTGACTGCCACCCCCACCCCAGGCCTGTTAGAGTAGAAGCCTTAGTCCCACTCCCAACCCCAACCCCAAGACTGAGCCTCAGCCCACCACCCCAGATCCAACCACCTGCCTTCTCTTTGATTTCTAAAGAGGGATTCAGCAGAGCCCCACCCCCAACTTTCCCAGCTCGCTCTGAGCTGCCCACCCACCTGCCCTGTTGCAGTCTTCGAGTCTGGGCCCCTCCTGTCTCTCTGTCTGGGCCATGTGTGAGCAGTGTCCTGACTCGCCCATCCGCCCTTGCTACCCCTGCACCTTCGGGCCTGAGTGTGCTCTGTATACAGTGTCATTGTCTGTTACACCAATTAAAGAAGCAGGAAGGCTTCCTTCTGGGTCTCTTTACTGCACCAGCAAGCACAGAACACCGGCTGGGGATGGGGGCCCAGGATGGGGGCCCCACCTGTCCTGGAGCTAAAGCTGTGACGGCGAGAGGCTGTGCTTCCCAATAAACAACACCCACTACACTCGCCGTAATACCGATACAATCGCACAGGCCTTACCCTGCCCTGGGCCTCCTTCCAGCCCCTTCCTAGACACGAACCCCGTTCATCCTCACAGCAACCCAGTGAGGTGGATGCTGAAAGCCTCTCTGCTTTACAGAGCACATAGCTAGTAATCTGGGCCAGGACTCCCGCTCCGGCCACCTGGCCCCAGCACCAGCACTCTGAACAGGTGTCATCTGCAGGAAAGAGCACAGGAAGCAGTCTGCCCCCCAAGTCTGAGGGGATCGGGCTTAAGAGCCAAGTCTGGGTTTGGGATGCAGCTGGGGGTGAGGGTCAGGGTCTGGTCTAGGCAGGCTGATCTGGGGATGAGCTGGGTAAAGGTGGCTGGTGTGGCCATGACCACCAGGGCACACCCCGCCCTTCCCCAAAAACTCCTGGAGCCCTTGTTTTAACTGTGGAAGTTGGGCAGCATCCTTCCCCCCCATTTCGGCACAAAAAAAAAGAACATTACAAAGTTTCCAACCGTGGAACATTTAATATTTGGGAAGTTAGGCTCTTTCAGGAGATGGGAGAGCTGATTAGGCCAGTGACCCTGTCCTCTACCCCCTGCATCTGAAAGGAGGCTGGGCCAGAGGCCAGTCCACAGGAGGAAAGACAAACACCCACTGGGCTTCCTGCCGCCCACCCCGAAGCCAGCCTCCAGGCCATCCACCAACACTTAGCCAGCAGGGCCCTCAGGGTAGCAGCCCAGCTCGCATCTGGAAGGCCAGGCCATCCCCTCGGGTGGCTTGCTAGAGAAGAAAGCGCACAGAAGGGGACACATCAGAAACAGAGCTGGGCGTGGTCCCCGGGGAAAGGGATGACACCAACCTTGTTGATCTCTCTGTGTCGCTCCTTAGTCACGATTTCCTCTAAGACCTCGCCATCTCCCTTAATGAGCCTGGGGGAGGAAGGGAGAGGAGGCTGAGCCTCTGATGCCAGAGCAGCAGAACGAGATGCCAAGCCTCAGGCCCCCACTCCCTTGAGCAGGCGGAACCTAGGCGCTCCCCCCCACCCCCGCTCCTGCCCTTGGGACAGTGATAAAGGCAGCTGGGTAGGTAGGCTCTGCCATCAGAGCCCTTTGAAGACACTCCTCAAGGCCCTTCCAACCCCTGCAACTGCTTGCTCTGGGCAATAAGGAAGAACAGCCTAAGAAGTCCCATGAATGAGTAACCACTTTTCTCTGGTCTCTGGCTTTTTAGCCCTCCCCCTGAGTGCGCAGAGCATGTGGGGCTGAGCTTTGCCAAGACTCCCCACCTGGTGCGTCCTGTCTCCGGGTCCACCACCTTGCGGATGATGCTCTGCCGAGCATCCCACTCCTCCTTGGTCATGGGCTTCATGGCCTGGATGCGGGACTTCTGTTCATCTGTCAGGACTGCAAGCGGAGATGGCAGGGAGCTGGCGGCTGGCTCTCAGGGAGGGGACGCTTCCCGGCCCGCACCCCGGGCAGCAGGGTACCTGGGCCATCCTCTCCCTCCTCCGCCGATCTGTGCCACTGGTCCAGTGAGGGCCCCGGCAGAGCCTCAGCCTGCTGCAGCTTTGCCTTCTCCTTGCCTTTCTTCTTCAGCTTCTTCTTCCTTTTCCTCTTCTTCTTCTTCCTCTTCTTGTCCCTGTGCTTCCCCCGCTTCTTCCGGCCGCCACTGGAGGAAGAGGAGGACGAGGGGGAAGACGAGCTAGAAGAACTGGAAGAAGAGGAGGAGGAGCTGCTTCGTGGTCTCCTCCGGGCCTTGGGCTTGCTTCTCTCTGTGACGCAGGGAGAAGGTGAGGCTGGCCAGGAGGGTAAGAAGGAGACCTTCATCCCCTTGCTCTGGCCTGTGGCAGGCTTAGAGGGACCACGGAGGGCTGAGGCGCTCCGGGCAGGGCCTTCCAGAGCAGGGATCAGCTCTCTCCGGAGAGGCACTTTCTGGGCTTCACCCAGTCACTGTCTGACCAGGAGCAGGGCAGCCAGCCCCCCCCGCCCCCATCTCAGCTCCAGCTTCACAAAAAGCATCATTACGGGCTCCCTTCAGTCCGCACACAATGCGCTGGCCCAGCCTCTGGAATCTGAGTGTCTTTCAATCCAGACATCCGGGTCCCGCGCTCTACACTCTACCGCTCACCGCGCTCTCTCCACTGCCACCCCGGGAAGCCCACTCAGCTGCCTGCAGCTTCCTCCGTAAACTTCCCACACCCCTTTCCCATTCCCTCCGGTCCTCACCCTCCGCCCCAGAGGTGGTGTTGCTGGCCTTGTGGTCTTGGGATCTAGAAGCCGAGGAGCTCCTCGGAGCGTCCTTACTGCTCTTCTTCCTTCTCTTTTCCGACCCTCGGCCCCGGGACCGGCTTCGGCTCTTGGAGCGCTTGCGAGAGCTGACGTGAGCCATAGCGCCGCGGGCTGGAGACGGGGAGACACGCTTATACTGGGGCTCACACAGCCGGCCCCCCAGACTGGGCTCCGAGGGCGGCTCTTCTCGGGGCCTGGCTCTCGGGGGCCCAGTGCCCATCACCACCCGGGGCAGGGACTGAGGGGGGTCCGCGGCCACCTCACGACCCTCCCCCACCCCCGGGGACCCCAGGCCCGGCGCCGACTCTCGGAGCCTCGGCCCCTTTAAGGGCCCGCCCCCGCCCGGCCGCTCCACGCCTGCGCACGGCGCCTCCACGCCTGGACGCTCCGGCGCCCGTAGGAGCCGCCGCGGCCCTCAGCTGCCGGGTGCGTCCCGAATCCCTCCCCGCGCGCTCCTACCCTCCACCCCCGCGCCCTCCGCGGCCTCGCCGCCCTAGGGAAGGTCCCCGCAGCTGCTCCGTCCCCTCCTAACCGCCCATCTGGCGGGACCGTCGGACCCGCACCACGCCTTCGCGTAAGGAAGCGGCGGCGAGATCACTTCCGGCCGGGGCAGTGCTCCGAGAGGCCGTCCGGCTGGAAAGCGAGCGCTGCTGCCTTTAGTCCTGAAGCCCCGGGTTCCGTCTCCAGGGCCGCCCAAGAAACGGAGCCCGGCTCTCCGACCTCCCGAAGAGGGAAGCTGGGGATCCAGGCTTCCGCCCCAGGCGGTTGCGAGGCCGTGCGTGCTCCCCGACCTCTGCCGCAGCCCTGCCCTCGTCTCCGACCGCCCCTCCGATCTCCAGCCTCCCTGAGTTGCCTGCCGACCTGTCCACCCCAGCAGGCTGTGCGATCCCTGGTCCTTGCAGCGTCCCCACCTAGCGACAGAGCCAGGGCGGGAGCCCTGTGAGGGAGTGCCCCGAAGGCCTGTGTCCGGAGTGGGCAGCTGAGGTTCTGCTGCTGATCTCTCCAGTGTGGAACGAGGCCTGGTGTTCCAGATCCTCCCACCCTCCCAGGGAAGCCAGAACTCAAGATTTCGATACGGAAACCCCTGGTTTGCAAATGTGCAACCCAAGCCCGGCACAGCTGCACTCCCCCCCCCCAGTTTGGGAGCTGCCCAGTTGCAAATTTTTCAATAATAATGACAGCAAACACAGACGGCAGCTGTAAAGCGCTTTATGAACGTTAACTCATTTGATTCTCACAACAGCTTTAGGAGATAGGTTCTTTCCAGGAGAGGAAACCAAGGCACAAAGAGGTCACGTGGCTGCCCCACAGTCACACCACTGGAAGCCGCAGAATCAGAATCTGAACCCAGGCAGTCTGGCTCGAGTCCTGCTCTTAAACCCCGCTGTGCTAAGCCCTCATCACCAACTAGAAGTTGCTATTGGTGGCTCACCCGAATCCCCTTTTATAGACAGATGCTCTCCATCCCTGCTGTGGTGTGTGTTCCTAACTCACCTGTACTCTTCTCTGGAAGGTTCCCTTGGTCACTGGGAGCCAACCTGCCCTGGAGATGGATATCTGGGAAGTCACTGCCCCCTCCCACCCACTGCCCAGCGCCCAGCACAGCCCAGAGACACCCTATAGCCTCTCTGACGCAGGGGGGGCAGACTGCTAGATTCATGCTCGAGTGCTCCGCGGGATTGGGCTGAGGCCGGATGCCCTTTGAAACCACATCTTGGCCCAGCTCTTTCCCGCCCTGTCCTTCCCCTCACACCCTTCTCCTGAAGGCCTTCCTTCAACAAACCACCTGCCCAGGAATCCCCATCTCAGGCTCTGGCTCTGACAAACCTGACCCAAGCCAGCTTGTCTGGGGAAAGAATGACGCAGAAGCTGGTGTGTCCTTTTGAACCAAGAAGTGCCTGAGGGCTGCAGGGAGTTTATTCCTGTCCCACCCTACCCAAGAGGCAGAGCCCTCACCTGCCATGCTACCCCCACACGGCCCGGCCTGGCTCAAGTCAGAGCGCACACATCCACCACGGGGGGCTCCTCGCGGGTGAAGCCGTCGCCGAAGCCCTCGTCGTCCACCAGGTCAGGTTTGCGGCAGCACATGGGGCACAGGCGGTTACGCACAGCAGAGGCCCGGAGCCAGATGACGAGGTTCCAGCGCTCGCCCGTGCCCAGGGGCCGGGCCCCGTGCAGCTGGCCGCCCCGGTGCAGGATGCCCTGGCCCACCACGTGCTCCACCTCCAGGGGCTGGGCCAGGGCTGAAGGCGCCTGCAGGAAGCGGGGCTCAGGCCTGGGCACTCCCGGCTGCCCCAGGCCCTGCGCCGTGGGTCACACACACTCACCTGGAAGAGGCCCCCGAAGTACAGGGCGCCCCCCGTGAAGGCCTTGCCAAGGGCCACGTTGAGGGTGAGCTCGGCGTTATCATAGTGGCAGCCGAGCTCACGGTCCTGGCCTGGCGCGTATTTGACCACGAAGGCCCGGTGGCTGTCAAGCCAGCCCCCTCCACAGTCTGGATACAGCAGCGCTGTCAGTGGCTGCAGGAAGCGCTCCCGCAGGGGCGTCACCAGCTGCTCATCCAGGCCTAGCTCGTGCAGCAGCACCTGGGAGGGGGACCCCAGGGGTCAGCAGGGAAACTGACGGGGCCTCACCCTGGGTCCCTGCGGGAGTCTCTTACCAAGGACACTTATTTGCAGGTACCAGCTTCACAATAATCCTACCATGACCTCATTTTACAGACGGGGAGACTAAGACCCCAACAGACCCCAACAGCTCTTCTCCAGCACCGCAGATACGTCCCCCCAGCCCCTGACGTCCCTGCCTCACCCACCCCATAATTGTTCATGGTGTTGGGTCTTCCCTTGGGCATGTCTGACTGCTCGAAGTGCTCCAGCTCCTGCAGCAGGGCCTGGCAGAATGGTGCTGTGAGCACCGGCAGCCGGTAGATACGCTTCGCCCCTGCAAAGGAAGGGACAGTGTGGGTCTGTGTCCTCGTGAGCTCTGTGAGCCTGAGCATGCCGTGTCACTTCCCTCGGCCTCAGTTTCCTCACCTGTACGATGGGGACAACATGGGTACTCACCTCTCAGGGCTGTTGTGACCACTAATGACATACTGTGTGGGTAGCAGGAAGGCCTATTCCTGGGCGCCCTCATTTGTCCCTGGAGACTCTCATCCTGCTTCCACAGGCGCCCACACGTCTAGCCTCTAGACTCCGATGTGAGTTTTGATGAGGCCCAGAGATGGGAAGGGATTAGCCCAATGACACCCAGCAGGCCAGTGATGGAGCCAAGCAGGGATCACAGAGCCAGCCTCAGGGCTTCTCTGCACGGCCCCCCAAGAGCCATCAACATTTGCACCCCAACTGAAGTGCCCCTTGGAGCCTCTGTTCCCCACACAGGAAGGTTGAGGAGGGCTGCTCCTTCTTGCGGGGCCCTGTTTAGGGAGAAGCCAGGCTCAGATCAGAAATGCAAACATTCCTTGGCAGGTGCACCAACGCCCTGGGGTGCGGGGTTCGTGTGGCCCCCACACTTTCCACCAACACACAGCCCAGCCCCACCCAGACAACCTTCACAGAATCTCCACTGATGGGGAGTGGGTGGCCAACGAGGAGGAGTCCCTCCAGGCTAGGAGGGACAGTTTCATTCACATTCCATCCTGTACCTCACAAGAGAGCACAAGCTTCATAAAGGGAGGAACACTGTACACCTGTCTCCCCCCAGGACCCCCAGACCTAGGAATGACACTAACGGTAAGGTAAGGAAACCTCTCCTGAGCACTGTGCACCCGGCCTATTAGGCACATTACCTCACTTAATCACACTTTAGGAGATGGGTATTACTAGTTCTCCCCTTTCACAGATGGTGACACTGAGGCAGAGGAATTAAGGAACTTAGAAGGGCTGGCACTTCCTGCTGGGTTTAGCCAGTGGGAGATCCCAGCAGGAGATCCAAAGGCAGGAGAGATGGGGCATTTCTGAGCTTGGTGTGGCTTTGTGCCTCTGCTCAAGGCCACAGCAGTTACCTGGCAGCCCCTCTCCCACAACTCCAGTCATGGCAGGTTCAAGAAACTTCATTGCCCACTTCTCCAGGTCAAGGGATAGGAACTGTCTCTCCCCAGCCTGCTGTTAGTCCTGGGCTGGGGGATTTGGGGTGGGTCCTTCACCATCATGCACACCTGTCTTAGCTGTCCCTTTGTTAAGTTCTTCAGTCCCCCCGATTTGGGTATGCCAGCTGGTTCACACCTGACACAGGCACTGAGTGAGTATGTGTTGGGCAAGTGCGTAAGTGAATACAGATGCCCTGCTCCTGACAGGTAGGCCCACCAGCCCTTCTAGCTCCTGCTGGTTTGGATTTTGGAGGCAGACATGGGGGAGGGACCCCAGTCTCCCACCCCCTAGGTCCTAGTCCCACTAGGTGATGGGGCCAAGACCTCACCAGACACCGTCTCCAGCCGCTGGAGAAGGCCTTCAAGGTCTGCACCCGGTGATGTGCTGTACTCAGCTGCAGCCAAAAACTCAGGGGCCAGAGCCTCGTCCTGGGGGCAGAACACACTAGCTGTGAGGCAGACAGGCCCCAAGTCTGGATGCCTCCAGCTTCTTCCAGTAACCTGCCCCTGCCAGGTACCTGCAGCGTGTTGTAGACATCAGGCCGCGCTGGGTGGTAGGAGCTCGAAATGAGGGCTTTCCTGGCAGCCGACTCCTGCCCCAGCCGCTGCCGTCGCTCCACCTCCTGTTCAAGCTGGGTGGCACAGGGCCTAGTTACCAAGATGGGGCCTCACATCCCCCCCCCCCGACAAGGTCACTGTACAAAGGAGGAAACTGAGGCTCAGGAAGGGGCAGGGCCTGGGCTGAGAACCAAGTCTCCCTACACACCTGATTCTATCAGGGTAAACTGCAGGTGCCAAGCTGTTAGCTGAAGGCAACTCCACCCACTCTGGGTTGCACCATTCAGAGTCTGGCTGTGATGGGAACCCCTGGACATGCCCAACTAGCTGGGCCACTGAGGGAGGGGAATGGAATCCCAGCCAAGTCTTGTGTTCCAGAGGCTGCAGAGGGCTCGCCTAGGAAGCTTCCCCTTACTCACCCCCAGGTGAGGAAGGAGACAGAAGATGCCAGCAGCCCTGGCACCAGCCAAAGAAAGGGCAGTGGGTGAAGACGTGAAGAGGCCAGAGCCCAGCTGCCCTGGGTGGGATCTCAACTCCACCTGCTGTGAAGCCTTACGCAGGTGTCTTAAGAGGGTGTAAGGCAGACAACTTGGCATTTTCCACTTTCTCTTTTTCTGGTGCCAGGCCCCAGGTGCTGCAGTGAGGGGGCACAGGAAGAGGGCAAGGGGAGGTCTAAGGAGCCCTTCAGGGAGCTGGGACTGGCAGGCCTACGGCTGGGAAGCCCCCTCAAGCTGCTGGCACCAATCTATAAGGGCTAAGAGGAAGGGCTAGGCTGGGTGTGGAGGGTGGGGAGTGTTACCTCTCCTAACAGCTGCTGGAAGTCCTTGGGGCTGACACACCCTCGGCTGCGCAGGATCTGAGAGCAGAAAATCCAATGAGCAAGTCACTTAACGTCTCTGGGCCTCAGTTTCCCCTCGTTGAGATGGAGATGAGAGCCCCGACCTGAAGGGGTCATTGTGAGGATGAAATTCGGTAAGTACGCTTACCGAAGCGCACTTACGTTTACGGTAAGAGAGCATCCCCGCGCCGGGCCCTGCCCGAAGCACTTTACACGTACGTTTACTCATTCATGCCTTACGACCACCTCACTAAGGAGATACTACTATCCCCATTTAAGGTGAAAAAACCGAGGCACCCAGAAATCATGTCCTCCTTGCTGTCAGATCGGAGCACCCGGGCAAAGCGAACGGCCTGCCCTCCCATTTCTCCGCAGAGCCAATGGAGGCCACTCACCGGGCCATAGTCCCGGCGCAGCTGCTGCTCGCCCCGGAAGCGCACGTGGAGCCCGTAGCGCGCCACGTACAAGTTCTCGGAGCAGAAGCAGGCGCAGCGGCAGAAACGCCGCGGGGCCCCAGACGTCGCCGTGGTGAAGGGCCGCGCGCCGCCCCGCCGGCCTCTGTAGGAGCACTTCCGGCGCGCCCCGAGCCGAGCCGGGGACCGGGGTGGAACCGGCGGCAAGAGTCCGTTCCAAGTTCCCAAGTGCAGAAGAGAACGAAGACTCCGCCCCAGAAAACGGTCTGCGGGGGGCAGAGATGCTCCCGGGCCAGGGGAGGGGCGGACGGCCTCGGCTGAGAGCGTGTGCTCTTCTCGTTCCGCCTCAGTTTCCCCGTCCACGAGGCGGGGACTAATCGCCCCTTTACAGATAGGCAAACTGAGTCACACCTTCACAGGACGGGGACAAGTTGGGACTTGGAACCCCCCCCCCAAGGCCTTTTGCTTAAATGCCACCGCCCTTTTCTACTCGGGAGTTTTTGAAGAGGCAGCCAACGGCAGGAGGACAGTCAGAGGAGCTCTGGGGTCCGATCTCTCTCTCCAACTAGCAGCTAGCCGGTTCTGTGCGTCTGAGCTTGGGCTTGGCATTCCTCCCGGGTCCCTGTCCGGCACTCCTCGAGCCTCCGCCGCGGGCTCGGGATTTGCTGCTGAGAGCCCCGGGGCAGTGTCCACACGAAAACGCTCCGTCCGCCGTGACTTCCGGTGGCTGGGCCGAAGGATTCGGATGTGGGCGGGGAACAGGGTGTGGTCTGGTGACGGCGACACCCCGCAAGGCGCGGTCCAAGTTCTGCACAGCCGCAGTGTGAGCTGAGTGTGTTTCTTTTAGAGCGTGCTCCGGTACCTCGGGGAGACCCGTCGTAGCTGCTACGTCCCTTGCCTCGGGGACCCCCACCTTGGTCCGCCATGCACCCCGCAGGTCCAGGTCTGCAAAGCCCCTGGAGGAAGCTTGGACCTTTTGCTGAGATGGGGAAAACTAAGGCTGGGGGTAGGGGATGAAGTCCTGTTCCCGCCCCCAGAATTCCGTCCCTGGCTCAGCGTGGTGCGAGGATGGGGGTGGGGAGGAAGACTGGGGCCTCAAGACTCCAGCTCTTAGCCCGGATACACAGGTGACCACGAATGGTAACTCCTGTTGGCCGACTTTCACCTTCTGTCCTTTCATCCATACAGCAAGGCTTTGAGCGAGGTAGTAGTATGTCACCCTTGTTACAGTTGGAGAAACAGGCTCAGAGAGGGGCGGCGACCTGCCTGCCCCAGGGTTCACCGCAACAGGGGTTCTCTGAGTGGTTGGATTATGAGGGGTTTCAGATTTTCTCTTTGTGCTTGTTAGCATTCATTTTCTTGATGCTTTCCTCTCCCCCCCCCCGCCCCCGTGTATGCACGGGTTTACACTCATTCACATTCGCAGTGAGACACATACACACTCAAACACACCCTTCTGTGCTCACACACATGCACACGCCATCACGAGTATGCTCATACCTTTGACACACTCACACCCACTCATACACAACACTTCACATACAGACACAGCCACACACTCACCCTCACACACCTATCACCCACACTCACACATCCAACACGGTCCCTGGTTCCTCCCAGCTCTGTGGCAAATTGGGCCCCGAGGCCTGCCTGTGGCTCCTACCGAAGCCCCAGGGCCCCAGAGGGAGGTGGGAGACCCTCACATCCTGTGCGACCATGCCAGGCTGCCCTCTCCAGCTTTCTTCACCAGCATGTCTGCAGGTCCAGGGCTCCCGCCAGCACCTGGAGGGGCTGGGAAAAGGCTTCTGCTCTCAGGGAAAAACCCACACCAACAGCCTGATTGGTTTTCACACTGGCTGGCCAGGGGCAGCAAGACCATCCTGAGTGTGGGAGGTTTGCATGTGAGCATGTGGAAGCGTGTTTTGAGTGACAGATAAGCTCCCTGCCCTTCTGAAGCTCAGTCAAGGTGGGGAGACAGGAGTAAGCAAGGAAATAAATACAAGATCAAGTGATTTTCATTCAGTCGTAAGTGCTGGAAAGAAAGCCAGGTGATGGGATGGTGAGTGCCTTGGAGGTGGCCGCTTTAGACCAAATGACCGGAGAAAGCCTCCCGAAGAGTGACATTTCAGCCGAGCTCCAATGGCTGCAGCAAGATCTGGCAGCAAAGAGTTCTAGGCAGGGGAATTAAAAGTGCAACGCCCCTGCAGTGGGATGAGCTTGCCGTGCTTGAAGAGCAGCAAGGCATACAAGAGGGCAAGTCCTAGGGGATGACGCCAGAGTGGTACTCGGGCCAAATCACTGGGCTTTGGAGACCACTGTTAACATTTTGGATTTTGCCAAATCCTCACAACAAACCATATGAGGTAGGAGTTGTCCCCATCTTACAGAGGTGGAAAACGAAGGTCAGAGAGGTTGAATGGCCCACCCAAGGCCACACAGCTCGCAAGTAGTGGAGTCTGGAATGGAACAGGAGTCTGTTTTCTTTCTCCTTCGGTGCCCTTTCCCCTCTTCAGGCAATAAATCCAGGTTACTGGGTCATGGATCCTGGGACCCAGCCCAACCCTCCTGAAGGTGCCAGGCTTCCCCAAGGGGGAGAATGACCCTCAGGGCCGCTTCCTCCTCAAGGACCCAGCTCCCCAGCCCAGAGCTGTGTGGTCTGAGAAGGTGTTTAAACTTTCATGGGTGTCTTGATTGCCCAGCGATAGTGAAGGGCCCTGCTCTCCAGGAAAGGATCCATTTCCCCAGTTCTGTGTGCACTACCCCATCTTCCTCCCCCAGAGGCCCAAGTCAGGCCTGGCACATACATCCTCCCCCCAGTGCACACGGTTAGATTTCTCCCTTTGCAGCAGTTTGCAAGATGAGCATGTTCTGCTTATCAGTTTAGGCTGGCTCTCCCAGTGGTCCCCCTTCTCCTTGGAAGCAGTGTCTCCACCCCTACCCCGCCCCAGCCTGGGCTCAATCGCCAAAGGGAACAACAGCAAGAATATTAATAGTACTTGATCGATGTGCTCTCAACCAGCACTGATGTGTTTTTGTTGTCTGTGTGAGGTATTATATATTTTTTAAGATTTTTTTTAAGTAATCTCTACACCCAATGTGGGGCTCGAACTCAACCTCGAGATCCAAGAGTCGCACGCTCTGCCAAATGAGCCAGCTAGGCGGTGCTCCTGTTTGAGATATTATTAAACCTATTTTACAGATGAGGCTCAGTGAAGTACAGGGGCCTGTCTAGGGCCATAAACCTAGTAAGTGACAGGACCAGAATTACAGTACCCATCTTTCTGTCTGATTCCAGAGTGTATTTGTGGGGGTGTGTACATATGCATACGTCCATGTATATATGCATGTTGCAACTACGTGTAATTCTATGTGTCTGTACACATTCTTTTGAATTCATATAGAGCACACTACAAAAAAGGGCACATGTCTGGTGTACAGCTGGTGAATTTTTATAAACTAGACACACCCATGTAACCAGCATCCAGATCCCAAAACAGAACATTCCAGCCCCCGCCATGTCCCTGCTCAGCCACTACCCACCTCCAAAGGCCAATCACTACCCTGACTTCTAAGAGCCAACATTAGTCTGGCCTGCTGTTGAATTTGGTACAAATAAAATCATATACCATGTATTGTTTTATATACTGCTTCTTTGACTCAGCATTCTGTTGGTGAGATTCACGGCTGTTGTCCGGCGTAGTGGCCGCTCGTGCTTCTTCGTGGCTGCCTAGCATTCCACTGGGGGCCCACTCCATCCACCGAGCCATTCTGCAGCTGAAGGACGCTTGTATTGTTTCCAGTTTGGAGATGTCACGAATGAAGCTGCTAGGAACACCTGTAATTTATCTATTGCAGTAAATAGATGTAAAATATACATACATGTATATGTAAAATATACATAATATAGAACTGACCATTTTAACCTTTTTTATAATAGACTTTACTTTTTTTAAGATTTCATTTATTTGATAGAGAGAGCGTGCACACAAGCAGGGGGAGCAGCAAGCAGAGGGAGAGGGAGAAGCAGGCTCCCCGCCAAGCAAGGAGCCCGATGTGGGGCTCGATCCCAGGACCCTGGGATCATGACCTGAGCCGAAGGCAGCCACTTAACCAACTGAGCCACCCAGGTGCCCCTGGACTTTACTGTTTATTATTTTTTTTTTTAAGATTTTATTTATTTCAACAGAGACAGCGAGAGAGGGAACACAAGCAGGGGGAGTGAGTGGGAGAGGGAGAAGCAGGCTTCCCGCGGAGCAGGGAGCCCGATATGGGGCTCGATCCCAGGACCCTGGGATCATGACCTGAGCCGAAGGCAGACACTTAACGACTGAGCCACCGAGGTGCCCCTGGACTTTACTGTTCAGAGCAGTTTTAGGTTCACAGCAAAACTGAGTGGCAGGGACAGAGATTGACCATATGCCCCACTCCCCCCCACTATCAACATCCCTCACCAGAGTGGTACATTTGTTACACGTTATTACCCAAAGTCCGTAGTTTACACTAGGGTTCACTCTTGGAGATGTCTATTCTGGGGTTTGGGGCAATGTAGAATGACACATATCTACCACTGTGGTCTCGTACAGAATAGTCTCACTGCCCTCAGAATCCTCTGTGCTCTGCCTGTTCATCCCTCCCTCCTCCCCAACCCCTGGCAGCCACTGATCCTTTTACCGCCTCCATGGTTCTGTCTTTTCCGGATGTCATGTAATTGGTATCAGCATATAGTCTTTTCAGATTGTTTCTTTCACTTAGTAATAGGCATTTATGTTTTCCTCTGTGTCTTTGAGTGGCTTGATAACTGAATAATACTATATTGTCTGGATGGGCCACAGTTGATCCATCCCCCTATTGAAGGACATCTTGCTTGCTTCCAAGTTTCAGCAATTATGAATAAAGCTGCTATAAACATCCACTTGCAGGCTCTTATGTGGACATCAGTTTTCAGCTCATTTGGGCCAATACCTAGGGGCATGATTGCTGAATCATACAGTAATAGGATGTTTAGTTTTATAAGAAACCACCAAACCCGTCAAAAGTAACTCTACTATTTGCATTCCTACCAGCAGTGAATGAGAGTTCCTGTCGCTCACATCTTCACCGGCATTTGGTGTTGTCGGTGTTTTGGATCTTAGCAATTCTATTAGGTAGGTAATGGTATCATGTTGTTTTAATTCGCAATTTCTTAATGATATGACGTTGAGCATCATTTCATACGTTTATTTGCCATCTGTATATCTTGTTTGGTGAGGTGTCTGTTCAGGTCTTTTGCCTCTTTTTTAAATTGGGTTGTTTGGGGGTTTTTTTATTGTCGAGTTTTAAGTGTTTTTGTATATTTTGGATAACAGACCTTCATCAGGTATATTTTTTGCAAGTATTTTCTCCCAGTCTGTGGTTTGTCTTCTCATTCTCTCGACGGCATCTTTGCAGAGCAGAAGTTTTTGATTGTCATGAAGTTCAGCCTGTCAATTCTTTCATGAACTGTGCCTTTGATATTGCACCTAAAAATCCAGATTTTTTCCTATCTCCTAAGAGTTTTATAGTTTTGCGTTTTACATTTAGGTCTTTGGTCCATTTTGAGTTAATTTTTGTGAAAGGTGTGAGGTCTGAGTCTAGTTTGTTTTTTTTTTTGCATGTTGCTATCCAGTTGTTTCAATACCATTTGTGGAAAAGATTGTGTTTGTTCCGTTGTACTGCCTTTGTTCCTTTGTCAAAGATCAGTTGACTATATTTATAGGGGTCTATTTCTGGATGCTCTATACTGTTCCATTGATCTCTGTGTCTGTTCTTTCATCAAAACCACACTGTCTTGATTACTGTAGCTTTAGAGTAAGTCTCGAAGTCATGCAGTGTCAGTCCTCCAACGTTGTTTTTCTCCTTCAATACCATGTCGGCTGTTTTCACACAGCAAAAATGACGGAGCCTGGATCTGGACCCAGCTCTGAGTCACTCTGACTTTTGGATAGCCCATCCAGGATACTTTCTTCACGTACAGTCATATATTTGCTTTTGTTTTTGCACAAACATTAACTACTCCAACTTTATTCTGTCCCTTGTTTTTACTCAATCCATTTAGGAGGTCATTCCATACCTTTACATAACTTCTGTATACAAACGCATACATACATTCATTGTTTTTCCCCTGCCACAGGGTGGTCTGTTGAGCCCCGCTCTGTAATGATTTGGCCAGTTCCTTATGGAAGGGTATTTAGGATATTTTCAGAGTTTTGCTACTACAGTAACTATCTGCAGACTAGGATCTTTGCTCCCCTCTACCAGTCTTATCTATAGAAGAAATTCCTACTGGGTCAAAAAAAAAAAGCTTTTTAAAATCTGAGCTTTGCCAAATTCTCCTTGAAGGAGGCTGTCCCATGTGAGTGGCAGAGGCTGTTTTAAATTCAGAGTGCTTTAAGCCTTTGACTGAAGGATGGAGAGGTGAGGCGATATATTGCCCCACTTGCCACCCACTCTGGCCTTGACCTATTCTCCCAGGCTCTTGGTTCAGGCCACACCGTTTGCCTAGAAGCCTGCTCAACTTGTACCTTTCCCGGAGAGCCCTGCCCAGCTCGGGTAGCCCTGCGTCACTTTCCATGGCCTCACCCAGTTTTATTCCTTTATGGCACTTACCGCTAAATGAAATTATCTTATGTATATACCTGTTGATTTCCTGTCTCCCCTGTTCTGCGGAGGATGGGGGTTTTCCTTTTTTCACACTCAGCCGTATTCCTAGCACCCAGCACCTCGCGGCCGCTCGGTGTACATTGCTGTTTCCCCTATCCCAATTCTTACTATCCTGCTCTGTTTTTCTCTGTAAAATGTATTCCCTTCCAACAGATATAATTGGCTTATTTATCATATGTATTGCCTGACTGCCTCATTAGAGTGTCAGCTCCAGCAGGGCAGGGATTCTGTTTGTTCACTGTTGTATCTCAACAGCTTAGAATGGCACAAGGCACATAGTAGATGCTGCACAAATATTTGTTGGAAGAAAGAAAGAGACAGAGAGAAAGGCAAAGAGGGAGGAAGGGAGGAAATGAAGGAAGGAAGGAAAGATCATAGCCCCCACCCTCATGGGCCGGCAGGTTGTCCCTCCAGAGGAAAAGACCCATTAAAGAGCTGCCGCCCCCCAGGTTGGGCCCGGGCCCTCCGGACCTGGAGCACAGAGCTGGAGGGGCCGGCGGGGGGGGGGGGGGGGGGCTAGCTCTGGCCCCGCCCCCGGAGGCCCCGCCCCACCCCGGAGGCCCCGCCCCACCCGTCAGCTGGCCTGGGCGCCCGCCCGGCTCTGCTCCGACCTTGCCGCGGCGCAGCGGGGGTAGGAGGCGGGGAGGAGCGGCGGGAGGAGCGGAGCGAGCGCGGCGCGGGGCGCAGTCGCCAATGACCTGCGCGGAACCTGCGCCCCTGACGACCCGAGCCCACTGCGCCCCCTCCTCACGGCTCACCTGGTGCCAGGTAAGGTAACAGGTAAGACCGCGGCGCCCTGGAACCCCGGACGGGTCGTTCTCTAGCCGGGGTGCCAAGCCGGACACGGGCTGGGGGCGTCTGGGTCCCCCTGCCTCAGAGGTGGAGTAGGCATCACTGTTGAAGGTGGCACCCTTATGGGAGCCTTCTCGCCTCCGCCCCTGTCCCCAGGCGCCCTCGGCTGCAGGTCCCAGCCCCCCATCCCTGCAGCAGCATCCTTTCCACGCCCGCAGGGCGAATGTTGCTGCTGCTTCTTCTTTTTTTTTTTTTTAACTCCTCACGCGCCGCTGCCTCTTGGAAAATGGTGTGGGCGCCTTTTGGGGAGGATCCTGGGATGGCTGTTCTCCCCCTAGGAAACGTACTGTGCGACTTCCCAGGGCTCCCCACGTTCTACAGCGGCGCCTGCCCACGGGTCCTGAGCACCCTGGCTGTGGCAGAAGCCTGGGGGTTCCGACCTGGGCCTGCAGATCTTGGCAGACGGTTCCCCTCAGTCTCCCCTGCTGGTCAGTGGGCCGACGTTCCACACGCATCCACCCTGGCAGTAGGCCTGTGGGTTCCCAGGGGCTCCTCCCTTATTTCTGGGTCTGTGTTAAAACAGGATGCCCCCTTCCCCCACCTGATGTCATTTAAGATAGCTTTAAGCTGGTCTGACAGGATTCAGTGTCTTCTGCCCTCTGCCTCACCCCCTGGAGATAGGGTGGCCTCCATCCCCGCTTTGGAGGGCAGGTGGCAGGTGACCAGAGGAGGGTTGTAGGAAGGCCACCATAGTTCCCCAGTTTGCCTTCACCTGGAGCCACGGGTTACCTAAAACAACTTTCCCAAGTCTCTGAGAGAGGGCCAGTCCCAGCATGAGATGTGGTGGGCTGAGCAAGGCTGGAGTCAGGATGGAACAAAGTGGATCCAGCCCAGTCCTGGTGCTATGTCCCGAAACCCCCCAGTGACACCACCCTCCATTGGCCAGTGTTTGCTGAGCAGTGAATGGGCCTTTCCACTGCTGGGCAAATGACAATTTGGGGTGAAAAGTTCACCACGTTAGGAGTGGATCAAACTGCTTGGACCACCTAGGTCCTTGAGGACCCTTTTGTCATGGTCCCTGAGTAGCCTGGGCACGTCCCACCCAGAGAGTCAAGTGTTGGGTTTCAGTCCTGCCTTTGCCTATTGTCTGCACGCCACCTAACTTCCCCAGGCCTCCGTTTCCCCACCTGTAAAGTGGGGGTGATTACGTGAGGACCTCCCACAACAGTGGCGAGCTAGAATGGGAGGTGCCGGGCACTCAGCCCATTGTTTGGCAGTGAGTAGCATGCCGTAAACGGTAGCTGTTACGGTTGTAATAATAATTGTCATTTATTATCTCCTGGGTGTTGCAGACTTTCCTTCCGTGCAGCTGATGGCTGGAGGTGCCCCAGCCGCCATTTCTACTGAGACTAAAAGCCTTTGGCAGGACCCCCTGTGGGGATGGGGTCACTTGCTAATCCTGTGCCATTCCTTAGCATCTGGGGGCAAGGCGAGTTGCCCCTGTCTTCCCGGGCCATGTCACATCCTGGACAGGGCCTGCTCTGGCCTCTGGCCACCACCTTGTCCTTGTCCCTCGGGCCCCTCTTGCCACCCATGTGCTCACACTTTGCCCTCCAGCTCCACCTGGCTGAGCTCAGCTGCATCCACCAGATCAGGCAGCTGGAAAGCAGGGCTGTGCCTCCAAGCCACCCGGTGGTCCCCATCCTCCCCTCCTCACAGTCTTGGCTGGTGGTCTTGTCCCCTTCACCCTCCTGCTCAGTAAATTTTAAAAATAACAGAGTAGGCCGTCCCCACTGAGGGCTGTAACCCGACCCGAGTTGGATTCTGCTCCATCAGAGCCTGGAGTACAAGGACTCAGCACTTGGGAGTATGGGGCCATGGTGCTATAGCTGCTCTGTCCTCAGCTTGCTGGGTGACTCTAGACAGGCTTCACCCTCTGCTTCTTCTCTGTGCCTCAGTTTCCCCATCCATATAATGTGGTTCAGATAGTCTGTGATGCTGGAGTGTGACACTTTGCTTATACTGGTGAAGATAAACAGTTGGGGTCCCCCTGCTGGTGACTGTCAAATGGGGTTGACATTACCCCAAGCAGAGAGGGGTGTTGGGAAGGAACTCCCCCAGTGACTGGGGGCGGGAGCAGGAAGAGTGGGCCAAGTCCCTCAGCTGGTGTCTGGCAAATCTCTCTCCTGTCCCACTTGTGTACCCCAGCTCCCTTCCAGGGCCAAGGAACTCCTTGTGCCCACCGAGAGGTGAGCAACAGCCAAGGTGGCTGGCAGGGCCTGGGGTGAAGGCAGTGGCTTGGCCAGGAGGCCGGGTGCGGCGCTGGGCCAGGAGCATCCCTCCCTGGGCTCCGACTCACGCTCACCCACTCACTGGCTTCCCGAGGCCTCTGCATTGCAGCAGATAGGAACCTTTTCTGGCAGCCCAGCTGGGGCTTGGGCTGGAGCAAGGGACTGGGCAGGGGGTGACTGTTCCCACCAGCCCTAGCCCTGCTCCCTCGCCTGCCCTTGGTTCCATTCAGCCCTGGCTTCCCTTGCAGGTGCAGCTGCTGACAAGGGAGCCTTTTTGGGCACTGACTGGAGTCTACCTGGAAGTGCTGGGCTCTAGGCGGAGCCCAGGCTCAGGGACTATCACACCCCAGGGTCCTTTCTGCATCTCAGACAACGCCCCGCCCCAGCATCATTAGGGGGTCTTGCCTACCCCTGGAGAGGCTGTTTTGAAGCATTAGGGCTTTGGAACTCCACGGCCTGGGTTCACATCCCAGCTCTGCCACTTCCTAGCCGCGTGATCTGGGACAGCTCAGTGAACCTCTCTGTGCCTCAGTTTTCTTGACTGTAAAATGGGGTTGATAGACCCTACCTCACAGGGTTCTTGTGAAGATTCATGTATTTAAATCACATTCATGCATTTAAATCCTTAGACAAACACTCCCTATCAGCACTTGTTATATTGACAAGTGTTTTAGCTTCATAGTTTAGAGCCCAGATTCTGGAGCCAGATAGCTCTGCATTCAAATCCCAGCTCTGCTACTCACCAGCTGTGTGATCTTGCAGAAGTTCGTAACTTCTCTGGGCTTCAATTTCTCCATCTGCTCAATGGGGTTGAGGATAGTACAAATCTCACAAGTTGTTGCAGGGATTAAATAAGCAAACACATATAGTGTGTGGCCTATATAAAAGGCCGGGCCTGGGGTTCCTGGCTGGCTTAGTCAGTAGAGCGTGTGACTCTTGATCTCAGGGTCGTGAGTTCAAGCCCCATGTTGGGTATGGAGCCTACTTAAAAAATAAAATTAAATTAACTGCGATTTAGAAAAAATTTTAAAAAGTTATATAAAAGACCAGGCCCAGAGGAAGGGCTGTGTTACATAACTGTTTGCTTATACTTATTAGGCACCTGCTATGTGCCAGGCCTGCAGTACAGAGGTTGAGAGTTAGGTGCTGGGATCCTTTACATACTGGCCCAAGTCCTGGCTTGGGCCTTTGTTGGCACAGTGATATGGGGCATATGCTTTTGCCTCAGTTTCCCCAACTCTATGTGGCAATATGGAAGCAACTGTCTCATGGGGTATGTGGGGTTTCTGTCACTCCAGAACATGAGCCACTAGCCTTTGGGCACCAGAGCTGTGGGGGAGAGGGTCTCTCGAGCTGACCTCCTTCTCAGTCACTACTCAGAGTGACCTCTCCTGGTGTTCCATGCCTCTCCTTTCCACTTAGGGACTCTAGAACTTTGCACATTTTGCAGATGGGATGACAAAGTCCCCAGGAAGAAAAGGGATGGACCCAAGTCAAGAGGTAGCACTCAGAGGTACACCCCCAGTCCAGTCCCCGTCCTGCCCTGGACAGGTCCCACTTCCAAACATTGCCACCAGGCCCCCACATCCTGCGGTGTTCCTGCAGCTCCTGGGGTCTCCTAGGCACTGGCTCAGTTCCAAGGGGCCCAGTGTGGGGGGTGCTTTGGACAAAGCAGACATCAAGCTCCAGAAGGCCAAAAGGGCCTAGGTCAGGGGATGAAGAGCAACCTGGGCTGAAGGAGAATATTCTGGAAACTTCCAGGCAGATATGAAAGTCCCTGGGTTGCTCTAGGGCCTTTGGCCGCCAACCCCCCCCCCACCACCAATCTTGGTCTAAGGCCTGATTTGGGGAGGAGAGAAGTAAACAAACCCTTATTATGCACCCACTGTATACAGTGGTAACAATCACAGCCAGGCGCTGTGCCCAGAACGGATGTTCATGCACTGAACCTCATGCTGTTTTATTTTTTTATTATTATTATTTTAAAGATTTTATTTATTTATTTGACAGAGAGAGACATAGCGAGAGAAGGAACACAGGCAGCAGGGGTGGGAGAGGGAGAAGCAGACCTCCCGCTCAGCTGGGAGCCCGATGCGGGGCTCGATCCCAGGACCCTGGGATCACGACCTGAGCCGAAGGCGGACGCTTAACGACTGAGCCACCCAGGCGCCCCCGTCATGCTGTTTTAAAAATGAGGAAACGGGTTCGGAGAAATCAGTACTAGTGTATAGTAGTACTAGTACTCGTACTAGTTACTAGTAGTAAAAACAGCGACCATTTATTGCACTCTTTGCTTATCTCGATTGCGTCTATAAGGTCCTCCAGATGCCGGCACCCTCACCTCCCGGACCCTGTGGGGTCCCTCAAGCATGTCGGCACCCTCCTACCTCAGGGCTGTGGCACCGTCTGTTCTACCCGCAGATGCTTCCCCCCCAGATATCCACGCGGTGGACTACCTCACCTCTTTTCAGTCTCGCTCAAGGGTGACCTTCGCAGCAAGGTCTTCCCTGGACCCCCTATTTACCACGGCTCTCACCCCCCCATCACCCCCATCCCCTGCTTCCCATTCTTTTCCCCCCAGCCCTTAGCTCTTTTTTTTTTTAATTAAAATTTTTATTTATTTTGAGAGAGAGAAAGAGAGAGCACGAGCAGGGGGAGAGGGAGAAGCAGGCTCTCCTCTGAGGAGGGAGCCCGACGTGGGGCTTAATCCCAGGACCCTGAGGTCATGACCTGAGCCGAAGGCAGACGCTTAACCGACTGAGCCACCCAGGCGCCCCATCAGCCCCTAGATGTTAACATACTATATCATTTACTTATTGTGTTTGTCTGTCTCTGACGGGTGTGTCATCTCCACAAAATCAGGGATCTTTGTGTTTGTTCATTGTTAAATCCCAATACAGAGAACAGAGTCTGGCCCACCCAATGCCCATTGGTACTCAGGAAACATTCCTTAAATGAATGGGATCTTCACACCAGTCCTGTGAATTCAGTGCTCCCGACATTGCCATCTGACAGATGAGGAGACCGAGGCCCAGAGACTCAAGCCACTTGCTCACAGTCACACAGCCAACAAGTCGCCAACCTGAACCCCTTGCCCTGTTGCCCCCTATAGGTCTGGCCTCGCCCCCACGGACCATGGCCTTGCCCCCATGAGCTAGAGCCTGCTCCTCGGCACCTGCCCACCGCCAGCCAGCAGAATGCAGCTGTGGAAGGCGGTGGTGGTGACCCTGGCCTTCATGAGCATGGACGTTGGCATGACCACGGCCATCTACATCCTCAGCCACCTGGACCGCAGCCTGCTGGAGGACATCCGCCACTTCAACATCTTTGACTCGGTGCTGGACCTGTGGGCAGCCTGCCTGTACCGCAGCTGCCTTCTGCTGGGAGCCACCATCGGTGTGGCCAAGAACAGCGCCCTGGGGCCCCGGCGGCTTCGGGCCTCCTGGACCATCATCGCCCTCGTGTGCCTCTTCGTGGGCATCTACACCATGGTCAAGCTGTTGCTCTTCTCCGAGGTGCGCAAGCCGGTCCGGGACCCGTGGTTCTGGGCCCTCTTTGTGTGGACTTACATCTCGCTCGCCACCTCCTTCGTGCTCTGGTGGTTACTGTCCACGGTGCGGCCGGACGCCAAGGCCCTCGAGCCAGGGGCCGGGGCCGGGGCCGAGGGCTTCCCGGGGGAGCGCCGGCCCCCTCGTGAGCAGGCATCTGGGGCCACGCTACAAAAGCTGCTGTCCTACACCAAGCCCGACGTGGCCTTCCTCGTGGCAGCCTCCTTCTTCCTCATCGTGGCGGCTCTGGGTAAGTGAGGAGCCAGGGGGCCTGGCAGGCACCCTGGAAAGCAACTCAGGGGGTAGATATAACTACCGCGTCCTTCCTCTTAAAACTTTTTTTTTTTTTAACTTTTTATTTATTTATTCATGAGAGACAGAGAGAGAGAGAGAGAGGGGCAGAGGGAGAAGCAGGCTCCCAAGGAGCAGGGAACCTGATGCGGGACTCGATCCCAGGACCCTGGGATCATGACCTGAGCCGAAGGCAGAGGCTTAACCATCTGAGCCACCCAGGCGCCCTCCTCTTAAAACTTTTAACATTTTATTCACGTGGTTCAAACATCAAATTGATGTGAAGAGGCAAACATTGAGAGTTTCACTCCTAATTCTGCCTCTGACTGCCCTGATCTCCCTGCTGAGGGCTAACTACAGGAAAATGTTCCGGAAGCTTCCAAGTGGGTGAGAAACCGCTTTTCTTCATTTCTTGTATATTCTTCCAGGGTTTCATTCTGGAAGCTACAAGCAAAAATGAACCTGTTACTCTCACCACCTCTCACACATTATTTCATGTCTTGCTTTTACCACATTTAACACATTGTTAAATGTGTTTTATTTTATTTTATTTATTTTATTTTATTTTTAAAGATTTTATTTATTTATTTGACAGAGAGAGACACAGGGAGAGAGGGAACACAAGCAAGGGGGAGTGGGAGAGGGAGAAGCAGGCTTCCCGCGGAGCAGGGAGCCCGATGCGGGGCTCGATCCCAGGACCCCGGGATCATGACCTGAGCCGAAGGCAGACGCTTAACGACTGAGCCACCCAGGTGCCCCTTAATGGTGTATTTTAGAAATTTCCAATCAGTACCTCATTCTTTTATTTGGCTGCATAATAGTCCACTGTGAGGCCATTCCAGAGATTATTTAGTTGGTCTCCTTTGTTGGCCCGTCAAGGTGTTTCGAGTCTTTTCTCTTACAGTAAATAACCTTGTTCATACACATTTCATATAAATGTTGGTGTATTTGTAGGATAAATTCCTGGAAGTGGGATCACTGGGTCAAACAAAGCATTTTTTGTAATGAAGCAGAATATACTAGAGACCGTCAGAATTATGTTCTCTGTGATAAGAGTAAGTACTGTGTGGTGAAACTTTTATTTTAGGTACGTGTGCCTACATGTAAGTGTGTCCTGGTTTGTCACGTAAAATGTATTTGTTACTGTGGTTCTGGCCCAAACAGTGTAAAAATGCTTGCTCAGACAAGGTGGGTGGGAAGGTGACATCTCAAGGTCAAAATTCCATGGGTTCCGGGGGCCACAAGCCCTCGGCAGGCACTGCAGTCCTGCTCCTTACCTGGCTGTGTGCTTGCAGGCAAGTTATTGGACCCTTTCAGAGCCTTGCTTCTGTGAAATGGGGATTGTTAGCATCCCCCATGTTTCATGACATTGGAAAGCTTGAATGAAACAGATAGAAGGACAGGTCCGGAGCTTGGTACAAGCTTGGTAAGTACACAGAAATGTTAGCCGTTCTGAGTTGTTACACATTTAACAGACAGCATCCGGGAGCGGCCCCAAAGCCAGAGTGTCCTCAGACCGGACAGGCAAGCCCCAGAGCTGACCCCTTTCCTCTCACTATTCACCCTCTGCTCTCTCAGTCTCAAACCCTTGACCGCTGTGTGATTTTATGCAAGTTACTTAACCTCTCGGGGTCTCAGTCTCCTCATCTGTAAAATGGGCATAATAACAGTACCTATCGCACGCAATAGGGGCTTATGAGGTTCAGTAAGTTAATATGAGTAAGACACCGCAGATAGCTCCTGGCACCTAGAACGCTCCCAATAGATTTTTGTGGCTGCGAGTATTGGGATGACCCCTTTCCATTTAACCAGATAGTTTCTCCTGCTCATGTTTCCAGATCCCAATGTCCCCTCCTCCGAGAATCCCTCTTGAGTTATACTGACTGTGAGCCTTTATCTGCACCTCAGTTGTAGCACAGGTGACATGAAAATCATGCGTCCACTGTCCTGCCCCCCCCCACCAGGCTTTGAGCCCCTTTGGGCCCTTTGGGCCAGGTCTGACTCACCCCAGGTACCCCCACAACCTGGTACAGAGGCAGGATCATAGAATGAATGAACACATGACCATCCTATCTGTGTAAGCAGATGTCACCCACGACCTCGTTTCCCCCCGCCCCCCCCCCGCAACCGCTGGGGCCCTGTTGTCAGCTGCTATGCGCTCGGGGAATACAGATGTCCTAAAATACAGCCGAGCAGAGTCTGCCAGCCTGCAGGATTGCGTCGAGGTTAAGGACTTGGACTTGAGATCAGGCCCCCAACTGCACTGATCACCTGAGACAAGGTTACGGAACCTGGCCAAGCCTCAGCTTCTCATCCCAAAAGTGGGGTTTCGCTGGGCTCTTGTGAGTTGGGTGAGCTGGAGTGCAGTGCCGGCAAAAGTAAGTACTTCACACAAGTTAGGGACTGTGACTACTGATGATTTTTCTCAATCAGCAAGCCTCCAGGTGGGGCCAGCTTTTTCTGAAACCTCATGATCTAAAAGAAAAACTGCCCATTGTGAAAAAAGGTTAGTTTTAGTGTGGAGCATCTCCTGGTACATTGAAATTCTTTTATATGGATTTCATAGCAACCCAACTAGAAAACCTTGGGCAAGTACCTTAGCCTTTATTTCCTCATCTGTAAAATGGGAAGACTGGTGATAGCACACCTATGGGATTACTGGGGGGCACTGGAGACTTGGAAAAGATGAGGGAGCAGATATCCAGGGTAACAATGCTCTAGGCAGAGGGAACAGCCCGTGCAAAGGTCCTGAGGCAGGAAGGGGCCTGGTTGTGAAAGGAAAGGCAAAGAGGCCAGCGTAGCTGGAGCAATGTGTGTGTGGGGGGAGGGGGGGTAGGCAGAAAGAAAGTAGAAGATGAAGTCGGGGCAGTAGCAGGTGCCTGGTCATGTAGGGTGCCATTGGCCACTGTAAGGGCTTTGATTTTTACCCTGAATGAGATGGAAGCCTGAGGAGTGACAAGGTCTGACTTGGGTTTCCTAGGGCCCCACTGTGTGCTGGGTGGAGAACAGACTGATGGGAACAGGGTGGCAGCAGGGAGAACCCGGAGTTGGCTGAGGAGGTCCGAGTGAGGTTGGAGATTTGAACCCAGGTGGGAGCAGTTGGGGCAGTGAAAGAGGTTGGATTCTGGAGATACTGTTGACCCTTGAACAATACGGGGAAGAGTTGAAAATGCACGTATGACTTTTGATTCCCCTAGAGCTTAACTACGAATAGCCTATTGACTGGAAGTCTTGCTGGTCACATAAACAGGAGATTAGCGCATATTTTGTATGTTCTATGTATTATACACTGTATTCTTAGAATAAAGTGAGCCACAGGAAAGACAACGTTAGTAGGAAGAATCATAAGGAAAATACACTTACAGTCCAGTACTGCATTTATGGAAGAAACCCACGTGTAAGTGGACCTGCGCAGTTCAAACCCCCGTTGTTCAAAGGTCAACAATATTTTGAAGGTGGAGGCCCGGGATATGCCAATGGATTGGAGAGTTTCGTGTGATTCTTGCGTGGATTCAACAAGAGTTTGCGCACACGCTTAGCGCAACGCCTGTTACCCAGGAAGGGCTCCGTAAGTGTCTTTTGTGCTTCATATCATCATCAGTGTTTGCTGAAGTCGAGCTGCTCTTGGAGCTCACCGATGCCCTTTTTTTTGCTGCGGGTAAACTGAGGCTGAACTTCAACTCAGGTGGACTCCACAGTGTCCACAGCGAGAAACCCCATCTAATGGAGGACTGTGGGGTCTGAGGCCCTCGAGGCTGCCACCTTGTGGTCCCTGTACCAAGACCAGCAGAGGGCAGCAGAACCCCACAGAAGGCCTCACTGTCTCACACAGAGCGGGTCAGGATTCATTTACTGACCCTTACTGAGCGCCTACTGTATGCCCAAGGAAAGAGCCATAGTGACAGTGAGGACACAGCCTGGTCTGACCACCTTCAGTTCCGTGTCCCTCATCCCCACAAGATAACAGCAGGCTTTCTGGGTTATTGGGAAGGAAGGGGTAGGAAAGAGGCCCCGAACGGGAGGCCAGTGTGGGTTTGAGTTCTGGCCCTTCCTCTTAACTTCCCTGTGCTGTGTGACCTCAGGCAAATCACCCAGCCTCTGACTCTCCTGTTCACCTCTGTGAAATGGGGGTGACATCCCGCTTGCCCCCTCTCCCCACGCCACCCCCAGCGTTGTTCTGAAGATAACGGTAGTATAATGGGTACGAAATCACATGGCAAACTCTAAAGTGCTTCACCAAAAGGGGCTGGGTGGCCATTTCCAGCACTGCTTGGAACCAGAAAATCCACATCTTCTGAGGTTCTAGAATTTGGACTCTGAGCCCTCCGCCAGCGAGAAGGAAGTGAACTTTGGCCGTGCGGCCCGTTGAGCGCCCCCTCGCCTTCCAGCTCCATTGCCCTCTTCTGTAAAATGGGGTGATAACAGGACCAGCTGCAGAGCCTGCAGAGGGGAATCAGTCCCGTGGCTTCTTATGCTCAGGCCTGGTGCCCGTTATTAACAAGACCACCCAGTATAGATTGAATAACCCATGTTTCCTGTGTTCCTGGTCTCTGAAAAGAGGGGGCCTGAAGCAGTACGGGCCCCCACCCTGCCTCCCGCCATGGTGAGAAGCGAAGTTGCCAGGAGAGAAAACCCCATCAGAGGATTGAGCAGAACACGTGGTATGCGGCCTTCCCGAGGCTCAGGAGGCCCGGTACGGGCTCCCCCCGGCTGCGGATGCCCCCTGAGCCCACCTTGTCTCCTGGCAGGAGAGACCTTCCTTCCCTACTACACCGGCCGGGCCATTGATGGCATCGTCATCCAGAAGAGCATGGAGCAGTTCAGCACGGCGGTCATTGTCATGTGCTTGCTGGCCATCGGCAGGTAGCCGGCTCCCACCCCCGCGCCCCCCTCCTCCAGGCCTGCAGCAGGGGAGGGAGGTCAGGGAGGCCCGGGAGATGCCCCTGGTGAGCCTGTCACTCAGCCGGTCATCGTGGTAACCAACAACCAAACTGGCTTAGAACCCGTATCCATTCGATTGAGCCCTGCCCTCGAGTCATACCCCCTTGTCCCCAAAATTGGCTTTAGGCCTCAAGGTTCCCCTTTTACTCTCCCTGGCTACTCTCCAAACGGGAAACCAGGGACAGCCTCATCTGTGCTGTTCTGGAAGGAAGAGGGGTCTGGCTGGCAGCATTGGGTCCCTTGTCCCTGGTAAACACAACCCCTCTCTGCTCTCATCTGGGGGGCTCCCGTTGGGGAACAAGGGAGACTGCGTGGTGGTGCCAGCCCTGGAAAGGGGCTCGAGCTTGGGTCCCTCCCTGTGTCTGCCCTGCAAGGGGCCCACGCCTGCCAGCCGCGGGAGGGGGCAGCTGGGTTATGGCTGTTGGTTGTCGCAAGGACGTCGTGCTATATATAACATCTCTTATCTGCAATTAGCTCATTTGCCGCAGGTATTCGGGGCGGCATTTTTACCCTCGTATTTGCCAGACTGAACATTCGCCTTCGAAACCGTCTCTTCCGCTCACTGGTGTCCCAGGAGATGAGCTTCTTTGACGAGAATCGCACAGGTTGGTCCTCCCGCGGCCTGGGGTGACCTCCGGCAGGGGGGCCCAGGGGCGGGGGGGGGGGGGGGGCTTGTCTCACGTCGGGGAATTCAATGGCTGGCTTTTCCTGCTATCTTGTTCAGGATAGAAACACCCCAGGAGGCCCTGCCTGAGGCCAGGAAGCTGGCCTGCTGGCTGAGGTTTCGGTATGAGCTGTGGCCACTGTTAGGAGGACCCTGGCCAGGCCAGCCGAGATCCCTGCAGGAGCCAAGGCTTTGCTTTCCACTGCTCTTTGGGAACCACAAAGGCCAGAACTATCCAAGCCTGTGGCCTGAGAGGCTCAGCTCCAAGGGGGTGTGAGGGGTGGGGTGCAGGGCAGCACAGTGTAAGGTCAAGATCCCAGGCTCTGACACAGACCGGCCTGGGGCCCAGCCCTGGTTCCACCATTCGTTAACTTAGGCCCTCTGAGCCTCTGTTTTCTCATCTCGAAAATGGGAACAATAGTAGGAGCTACCGTCGGGGAGTTGTGAAGCTCTTAGCCCGGCCAAGTGCTGAAAGTTTCTCCTCCCCACAGCCCAGATGATTGTTTCTCTCTGAGGGAAGAGGGGAGTTATCCCCTCTGCCAGTGACAGGGAGGAGAGATGGCTTTGGTTCCGGCTCAGTCAGGGATGGGCCGTGTGGCACCAGCTTCCCTTTCTGAGCCTCACCTGCCTCCCGCGTACGGTGGAATGTGACGTCACGAGATGCTAGTGACGGGGGCTGGGCTCAGAGCAGCCCTCGAGGGGTGTCTGCTCTTCTCTCCCCTCCCCTCCCCGCCCAGAAGGAAAGGGAGGCCCGAGCTCTGTGGTGCCTGTCTCGGAAACCCCTTCATGTCTCCTGCCCCCCCCCGACCCAGTGGCCCCATTGCCACAGTGGGAACTGAACTGCCTGTGTTCCAGGGGACCTCATCTCCCGCCTCACCTCAGACACCACCATGGTCAGTGACTTGGTCTCCCAGAATATCAACATCTTCCTGCGGAACACGGTCAAGGTCACAGGCGTGGTGGTCTTCATGTTCAGCCTCTCATGGCAGCTGTCCTTGGTCACCTTCATGGGCTTCCCCATCATCATGATGGTGTCCGACATCTACGGCAAGTACTACAAGGTAGGCCCTGCCAGGTCCCTGCTGGGGTCTGTGCACCGCTCCGAAGGGAGGGAGGAGCCTCACCAGGCGCTCGGGGGAGCCCCCGGGGGCTACTGAAGGACCCATCCACCTGTGCACTGGGTCATTCGGGGGATCCTTATGAAGCACCTCCTATTCCCAGGCACCAGGATCCGTCAGTGAAACCAAAAAGCTTCTGCCCTCAAGGGGCTCATGTTCTAGTGGAAGAGGCAGACTCTAGGTAACAGCAATAATAGCGCCAGTGTAGAATATGTTGGAAGGTGGTGAGTGCTCAGGCGGAAAATAAAGTGAGAGAGAGAGATGAGCATGGCGGGTGGCTGCCACTTTAAATCGGTCCTTCTGAGAAGGTGACAGTTGAGCAAAGAGGTGGACATCTCTGGGAAGCACGTTCCAAGCGGAGGGCAGAGCCAGTGCCCAGGCCTTGAGGTGGAAATGTGCCTGGTGCGTTTGAGGAGCCTCAGGGAGGCCGGTGGTGCTGGAGCGGGGGTGAGGGGACTCGAGAGGGGACGAGGGCAGGGAGGTGACGCAGGTCAGGCTGTAGGCCTTTGCAAGGACTTTGGTTTACACTGAGTGCAGAGTTTGCTTTCTTTCTGTAGAGTGTTGATGTGGGGGTGGCTCAGGCCCCAGGAGCGAGGCCCTCGCCCACGATGCAGCTGTGGGCAGGCTGTGGTCCCCTGTGGCCACTCCTCGTGCTGCCCCTGCCGGGAAGGCTGGCCTGACAAGCTAGACCCCGGCCTCACCCCCCTCCTGCTCCCCACCTTGGTGGGTGCTCCTGAGCCGTGAGTGACCGAGGCTGGGTTTAGACAGGTGCAGGCAGCTCCTTCCCCGGTGACCAGGCCTGAGGGGACAGGGGTCCCCCTGAGCAGGAGAGACTGGCTCAGTTAGAACCTTTGGTGGCCATGGCCCGAGGCCAGCCCCAAAATGCATCCATTCCCCACAACCATTGTTGCGCCTTCTGGCAGAGCCCACCACCCAGGAGGACCCTCTCCCCCGTGATTCTGGGTCACGGGCCCCTGTTTTCCTCCCTGAGTAGAAAGAGTAAATATATGAGTTGGAGCCATTTCCCTTCCTCTGCTCCCCACCCCGCCCTTCCTGCCTTCCGGCCAGCTCCCCCAGACAGGGCAGGAAACCCTGGAGCTTCCCCCATCAGCCCCCCTGCACACCTCAGGCCCTATCGTTTGGGCGGGGTCTCAGGGAAGCTCTCTAGGTCTCCTGCTGGTACCTGACTGTGTTGAATACAGCCACCGAGTCATCGCCACAAGCCACACACACCCTACCCACGGTCAGACATGACTCAGGACACAGAATGGCTCCACCCGAGTTGCCAGAACATGCTGCACGCTTCTGATGGCCTCAGTGAGACTTGAAGGCCATGGGACGCGCCCATGCATGATCCTGGCCTGGCCTCCCTGGCAACCTTCCTTGATGGTTTGAGAATCTGAGCATGTTAACTGTTGCAAGGCCTGAACAGCTCTGCCCAGGGGCCACTTCCATAACGCTGGTGGGCAGCAGCCTGGTGGTCCGCCACTTGGGATAACTTCTCAGCCATCTATACCCAGTCATACACACACAGTGCAGCCAGATTTCACAGCCCTCCACCACCATCTAGAACTTGGCTAGGAGTTCTGGAATCTCTGTGCCAGTCCTCAGGCTCTACCATAATTTAATGTATTTTGATAACGTAAATGGCACCCCCTTAATACTTGGTGTTTCTCGTATAGTGTACAACCTGAACAACCATCCAGGGCATCCCTGTCTTATACCGTCACAGGATCAGGTGTTGAGGCTCCTTTTCTGAGAGGATTACCAAATACTGTGTTTGTGAATAACCACCTTTAAGTAGTGGAGATGACTTCATGATCAGTCCCCCATCCCTCAGGAGCTGGAACCTCAGGAGCTCACCCCAAGAACCCAGCCAGAGTCTATTCTCTGAGTCTGTCAAAGAAGCTAGAAGGCCATGGGGGAAAGCGGGGAGCTCGGTCTTGTCCTTTGGCCCTTGGGCTCCGTGCACAGAGCTGGCGCTAACTGAGGGTAGAGAAACCGGAGAGGCCGAGGGGCCGTCAGATGGTGAGACTGTCTGCTTTGGGGTCTCTTCCTTCTTGAACCCACTCCTGCCCACAGAGGCTCTCCAAAGAGGTCCAGAATGCCCTGGCAAGGGCCAGCAGCACAGCCGAGGAGACCATCAGTGCCATGAAGACGGTGCGGAGCTTTGCCAACGAGGAGGAGGAGGCAGGGGTGTACTCACGGAAGCTGCAGCAGGTGTATAAGCTGAACAGGAAGGAGGCCGCAGCCTACACCTACTACGTCTGGGGCAGCGGGGTATGTGCCCCTGGCCCGGGCAGGTCTAACTGTCGGGGGGCAAGACACAAAGATGGGGGGATCCCTTGACCAGGACGCGAGCCTCGGTCCCTCCGTATCAGTGTCAGGCTGGTTGCACTTGACTTTGCTCTGTCCCACCTTTCTGCTTGTCCATGGAGAAATCTTTGTGGAAAAGAATTCACCCTTCCAATGAATGTGCTCATGGGCACCTCCTCTTTCCCTCTCACATGGGCATGGGGTGGCTGGGGAAACATCTTTGCCCCGGAAGGGAGTCACGCCGAGGCCAGTGGGACCCAGCCTAGGCCACTGTCTGGCAGGCCCCGTGTCACAACCACACACACCCCATTGGAGTGTCTAGCTCACTCCCTGGGGGTGAATCACAGCCCCTCCTGGAGAATGGGGAGCACTTGGAGCCTGTTGCTGTCTGTTGGCCACGTCTGGGAGGTGGGCACATTGGGGCATAGCTGGGGTAGGAGGGTTTGGAGTTCAGGGGGAAGAAGGAGTGGTGATCCACCAGGGGACCAGGGGACGGGACAGGCCACCCCTCCAAAGCACCCAGCCAGAGAGGAGAAGGGGCCCGAAACCCAGCTCCACTAGCCAAGCCTCTCAGCAATCTGCCCCCCTGCATGGGTGCCTTTTGTCCCTGGCACAAAAGCACCGTGGTCTAACCATCGATCTAGGTGTAACCCAGCCAGGGGCTTGGGGTGGGGAGAGGCGGTAGGAGGCAAGGGTGCCCTGGACACAGCCCCTCCTTCATGGAACCTGGTGGGGACAGGAGACAGACCCATCATCCTGCCCTGCCTGGCTTGCCGTGTGACCTTAGCCAGTGGACTGAACCTCCCTGAGCCATGCTCTTTCCAGTGAGGAGGAGGACCAACAGCTCCCTCCTGTCCTGGCTGAATGCTGGGGGCTTTGTGGGTGTGTGCCAAGGCCTCACAAAGAAAGCCTTGCTCTCCGCCAGGCCCGCGGCTCCCTCCAGCTGGGGGCCTTTGCGGGGAAGAAGTCCAGGGCCGGGCAGCGGGAGGGCATGAGTGACAGCCGGGCACCAGCATGTGGGAGGACATCCCTGCCTGGCTGGAGTTTCAGTCTGTGGCTGGGCGAGCACAGCCCACAGCTGCTCTCACCTCCCCCTGAAGCCTGGGGTGGGGGGGATGGGGGGCGTGTCAGGGTCTGAGCCAAGGCCCCTGTGACCCAGGTCCCCCTGCCCTTCCCTCTGCCCCCAGCTCACGCTGCTGGTAGTCCAGGTCAGTATCCTCTACTACGGGGGCCACCTCGTCATCTCGGGACAGATGACCAGCGGCAACCTCATCTCCTTCATTATCTACGAGTTTGTCCTGGGAGACTGTATGGAGGTGAGGGGCTGGCTTGGGGAGGGAGTCCAGGGGAGCTGGAGGGATGGGGAAGAGGGTTGTAAAGGGGGGAAATACTCCAGGGTCTGACGGATGGGGTATTTCTTTCTAAGGAGGTGGGGGAGAGAACACAATACCAACGATGACACAGCAGTATTGCCAAGTGGCTACCGCAGCTCCATTTACTGAGCAAAGTGACAGGGACAAGGATGTTTCAGGAAATGCTCCGAAAAACACCGTGAGGGGTCTCAGTACTATGCTACCTCCCATTTCTCTGAGGCTCAGAGAGGTTAAGGGACTTGCCCACCACGCTGGTGGGGGAACCGGGTTCAAAGCCAGACGGGTCTTTGAGGCAGGGAGCTGGGGTGTTCCTGCCCGAGCCGCCCTCCGCCGCTGCTTGAGGATGCTTCGAGTGGGGGCCTTAACTCCCTGGCACTACATCAGGCCTCCGTGTCCTCCAGTGATAAAGCTGGGGGGTGTGCCTGGGGGAGGGGGTGTTAGCGCTCTGCATCGGCTAGAGCCACACCAGCCTGTCATTTGACGCTGCAGTTCTGCCTCCGGGAGCCTGGGCCGCAGAGACGCCCACTCCGGTGGGCAGAGGTGTGTGCGCGCTCAGCGAAGCGTTGCTTCTCATAGTGCGAAGTCCAAGCGTCCTCCAGTGCCGGGGTCAGGGATTGGGCCAGCGTGGCCCATCCGTGTTCCAGAAGCAGGACGTCTGCACGATAGAAACTAGGCAGCAGCTACAGATGTAGGCAGATCTGTGGTATGTGGGTATATCAGCGTGCAAGGGACCCTGAGACGCGCCATGAAGCAATGGAAGAGTCTGATTCCAGTGGCGTGGTTTTTAAAATCTCAAAATTATTTATCATGTGTGTGCACGTGCTTGTAAATGCACAGAGGAAGGACTGGAAGGAGACGGTACGCAGATACCTGGGGCCACCTGTGGGAGGAGGTGTGAGGGGCACCGCTCCACGGTGCGCGTATCTTAACATGACTGATAATGTCTTGATGTTAATGATAACAGTCCTAGCTGTGCTGGATTCCCCAGCCAGGCCCCTCGGTCATAGCACGCAAGGGCCTGAACTCAGGAGCCGGCCGTGCCCGGGTTCAAGGCCTGGCTCTGCCACGTCCTAGCTGTGTGAGCTGGGGGAAGAGATTTGAGCTCTCTGTGCCTCAGTTTTCTCATCAGCAAAAAATGAGATAATGCTAAAACCTACCCCATAACATATGCAAAGTGCTCAGCAAAATGAGTCGTCATGATCACTCACATTTATGTTGTATATGTTTTTACCCAAGGAGAATGGATAGCGTGAATTAAGGGCCGTTTTTAAAACCAAAATTTTAAAAATGCTGTGGCAGCCGAGAGAGGAATTCCGTTCAGAATTCCTGTTCTGCCACATTCTAGCTGGTTCCTTTAACTGCCCTGCCCTTCCGTTTCCTCCGCTGGGGGGGTGGTAACACCCACCAGGCAGGATGGTGGTGAGCTTCAGCTGTACCGGCCACGAGGCGCTGGGCTCCTGATGTGTTCTCAACAATGGCTCAGTATTCGTTATTGCTGCTCTCGTGGGTTTTTGTTTTTTGTTTGTTTGTTTTTTTAAGATGTTATTTATTTGAGAGAGAGAGAGGGAGAGTGAGCATGAGCAAGGGGAGGGGCAGAGGGAGAGAGAGAAGCAGGCTCCCCGTGGAGCAGGGAGCCCGATGCAGGGCTCGATCCCAGGACCCTGGGACCATGACCTGAGCTGAAAGCAGACGCTTAACAGACTGAGCCCCCCGGGCGCTCCTTGCTGCTCTCCTTTTATCAGTGTTGTCATTATCTGCTCTGCTACTGGGGGGCCCCTGCAGTGTCCTGCACCCCCCCCAGAACAGCTGCTGTGTCCCTGCTCTCTCTGCACCCCCTTCATCTCTCTGGCCACCATGGGGGTCCCAGCACTGGGGTGTTACTGGGCCAAGAACTTGTGTCTCCTCCCCCCGCAGTCCGTGGGCTCCGTCTATAGCGGCCTGATGCAGGGAGTGGGGGCCGCCGAGAAGGTGTTTGAGTTCATTGACCGGCAGCCAACCATGGTCCATGATGGGAACTTGGCCCCTGACCGCCTGGAGGGCCGGGTGGACTTTGAGAACGTGACCTTCACCTACCGCACTCGGCCCCACACCCAAGTCCTGCAGGTAAGGGGTGCCTGAGGCCCGCCCACATCATCCCTTCCCTCACAGTGTAGCCAGGATCGCATAAGGCGGAGTCCTTGTCCTCGTGGAGTTTGGAGTCAGGGAAGGCAGATCATTAACAGAGCATTCCAGATACTAAGTGCTAGGAAGGCAGTAAATCAGGGTGGTGTGATAGGGGTAGCTCACAGGGATGGTGTTAACAGTCAAGGAGGGCTTCTCAGAGGAGAGGACATTGGAGCTGGGTCCTGAACAAGGAGAAGAGGCACCCAGGCAGTGGAAATGAGCATCCAAGTCCTGCCAAATCCTAGAAAGGAGAGCATTCCAGGGGCTGGCAGTGCCCATGGCAAAGGAGCATGGGTGGGCTGGGAAGGGTGCCCGCCGGTGTCCGAGGCCAGAGCATCTGAGCCAGTGGCCCCACACAGTGTCCGCCTGTTCCTTGCAGAATGTCTCCTTCAGCCTGTCCCCAGGAAAGGTGACCGCGCTTGTGGGGCCCTCGGGCAGCGGGAAGAGTTCCTGCGTCAACATCCTGGAGAACTTCTACCCCCTGGAGGGGGGCTGCGTGCTGCTGGACGGGAAGCCCATTAGCGCCTATGACCACAAGTACCTGCACCGCGTGGTACGTGAATGGGCCTTTGTTGTCCTTCTGTGCACTTTGTCCGACCTTCACCCTCGCGAGCAATAACGCAGGTGCAGAGAAGTGATATAGGTAAACAGGCTCAGAGGGTCGTGCCCACGCACCGGCGCCCCGGTCAAGAAACAGAACATTCCAGCACTCCTCCACCCCGTGTGTCCCTTCTCTTCCCCACAGAGGCTGCATCTCCCTGACTTTTATGATCTTCTCTTTCTTTTCTTCAGTTTTACCATTGCTTTGTGCCTCCCCAAATAACAGAGCTGTGTTTTGCCTAGTTTTGAACTTTATTCTGGCTGGAATCATAGAGCATGCGTTCAGATGGGTCTTGCTTCTTCCACTCAGCCTTATTTGTGAGACATCCAGGTTGAGGCTGTGGTCGTAGTTCATTCATTTTCGTTGCTGGGTGATAATCTACTGTGTAAACATGTCACAATCTATGCATTCTGCCCTTGATGGAGACTTGGGTTGTTTCCTGTTTTTACCATTACCAATACTGACATAGACAATTTTGTCCACGTTTTCTGGTGCACACGGGTACGTATGTTCTCCCAGAGTGGATGTATATGCCCGACTTTAGTAGCTACTGTCACTAGGGTGGTCGTACCACTTTACATTCCCACTAGCAGTGGATGAGAGTTCCAATTGCTCCACATTTAAGTCATCTCTAGTACTCAAAGGAGGCTTATTCATGACCATAGAGTTTTTGGTAATCATTTCAGGAAGGGATCCTCAACACCTGATCCTGTGCTAGCATAAGAACAG